CTCTCTCTCTCTCTCTCTCTCTCTCTCTCTCTACCAAATTGTACAATCAATAGAACAAGAGGCCCAATGGGCCTGCATCGCTCACCCGGTATAAATCTCACACTTGCTACCTTAAAAGTGATCAAATATAAAGCTTCAGGCAAAATATCAGTATTTATGATTAAAGTCATTCAAAAGAACCTGTTAAAAGTTTTTAAAACATTTCACCACTGTTACTTTGAAAGTCGACCAAGTCATTATGTTGAACAAATTGTATAGCCTTTCATCTCAGTACGCAACTTGCAAAGTATCAACATCCTGGGACCCATGATTATTCAGAAGAGGTCGTTTAAAGATTTTAAACAAATTTGACCTCTGTGACCTTGAAGATAAGTCAAAGTCATTCACTTTAACAAACATAGTAGTCCTTGATCTGACTAAATATCAACATCCTGAGCCTTTTGGTTATTCAGAACAAGTTGTTTAAATAGTTTAAACATATTTACTCCTTGTGACCTTGAATATGATTCAAGGTCATACATTTAAACAAACTTTGTAGCCCTTCATCTCAGCATGCTACTGGCCAAATATCATCACCCTGTGCATTTTGGTTATTCAGTAGAAGTTATTTAATGTAACTCACATATTTGACCCCTGTGACCTTGAATATAGGTGAAGGTCATTGATTTGAACAAACTTTGTAGCCCTTTATCTCAGAATGTTACTCGCCAAATATCATCACCCTGGGCTTTTTGGTTATTCAGAAGAAGTTTTTAAAGTTTTTAACATATTTGACCCCTGTGACCTTGAATATGGGTAAAGGTAATTCATTTCAACAAACTTTGTAGCCCTTCATCTCAGCATGCTACTGGCCAAATATAATCACCCTGGGCATTTTGGTTATTCAGAAGAAGTTGGTTAAAGTTTTTAGCAAATTTGACCCCTATGACCTTGAATATGGGTGAAGGTCATTCATTTCAACAAACTTTGTAGCCCTTTATCTTAGCATGCTACTGGCCAAATATAATCACCCTTGGCATTTTGGTTATTCAGAAGAAGTTGTTTAAAGGTTTTTTTAAGACAATTGACCCCTGTGACCTTGAATATAGTTGAAGGTCATTCATTTGAACAAACTTGGTAGCCCTTCACCCAAGCATGCTACTGGCCAAATATCATCTCCCTGGGAAGTTTGGTTATCTAGAAGAAGATGTTGAAAGTTTTTAACATATTTGACCCCTGTGACCTTGAAAACGGGTGAAGGTCAATAATTTTAACAAACTTTGTAGCCCTTCATCCCAGTTTGCTTCTGGCCAAATATCGACACCCTAGGCCTTTCGGTTATTAAGAAGAAGTAGTTTAAAGTAAAATATTGACACCGGACGACGGACGACGGACGAACGGACGGACGACGGACGCCGCGCCACGGCATAAGCTCACTTGGCACTTTGTGCCAGGTGAGGTAAAAACACATAGTTAGATGTAAAATATTATAAAAAATTAATTAAGATATTAATGATATCAGATACAGGGTTGAATCTATATATAGCACCATCGCATCGTTTCCTGTCATACACCCTACCAAAGTACATATTTACTAAATTGTTTGATTTGCTGTTTATTTATTTATCAGTATATGGAATATATATACACCTACCCTTTTCGTGATGAGAACATGGCTCTGATTATATCTGTAGTTTTCAACAGTTTGATTAGCGAATGTACTTCTTCGTTGTCTTCGGAGTGACAAGTGTCGTTTTTGACACGGAGTCTCGTTTTTACTACAACTGGCATAATGCCGAAATCCACACACAGATTCCTGACGTGTCTCTTTGGTTCCAAGTGAAGCTGCCTTTTCTTCTTTATCATTGTACGGACAAAAACATAACTGCTGACTGTCAGGGTAATCAGGAAATTCTTTCACAAGTTTATCAACTTCATAGTCTTCGTCCTGGAACATGTGTTCACTATCGAGTAATCTGAAACGAAATAAATATGCAAATCAATAAAAATACCCTTAACGAGTTTAAATAACAATTTCTTATTATGAATGATGTATAGAAAATGAAGAAGAAAGGCTGAGATCAAGATGGCAGAACGTCAATATTTGATTTTAAATCGGCAACCAAATAACACGAACTGATGTGCAACGAATATCAATAACTTCTAACGAATTGCAACAAGTTATTTTGTGCAATTTAAGTTTCAGTTCAAAATCAATTTTAGATATTATTACCATGGTGATATTATATAATAAATATAATATAATTCGCTCGAAATGCGAATCGGCTACATAAAAAAGGCAAGAATTGGTCTATGACAATTGATCTTTCCCTAATAAGTTTTATTGAAATCAGTTTAGTAGAATTTGAGATTCAATCGAAAATGTATTTTTAAATGGCTGTCATGGCGGCCATTACATTAATTAATGAACGTTAAACAGGGAATAACAAATCCGATTTGAAGGACTCTGGTATGTCCTGGTCTTGGGAGGGAACCCATTGCCCTTTGGCGAATGCTCAACACTAAGGCCAAAGTGAGGTTTTACCAAGGAGACGTTAGGAATTAAAAAGTGCGCTAGGAAATAGGGAGGTAATAGAAATAGCCAAAATGTCATCACCCTTTAACATTTGATTACTGGGAAGACGTCGTTTAATTTTTCTTAAACATATTTGACATCGTGACTTTCAACCAACCATGCTACTGCCAAAATATCAATGATCTAAGCCTCTTGGTTATTAGGAAGTTTAGATTAAACAGTTGATGTCAGGCGGCGGACGACGGTCGCTAAAAGACGGGATAAGATCATTTGGTCTTTCGGGCCAGATGTGCTAAACACAATCTTATTGACTTCCTGTCTGGAAAATAATCTAACTGAAATCAGAATATTAATATGTTATTCTTTGTACATGACCTATAACTCTAACAAAATGTATAATGGCCATAGAGGGTACAATTATAACGTCGAATTATAGATATATATGGATGTAAAGATAAATGCTACCTTGACCTATGTGATGAAGTAAAATATCACTTACTTAAATGACTCTGTGAAGTCATTTGGATGATACCACCAGGGTTTCGTGCATGCGTCGATTGGCATACTTCCGTCCCTATGTGTGAAGTCGTTACACCTGTTGTTATCGAGGCTTCCACATAGACCAGAGGTGCTGTTAACTTCCAGGACAGTAGGATACAAAACAATGTCCCAAAAGTTCTTGAACCTTCGTGTTGCTGTAATCTTCAGTCCAGTTGGCACACGGAACTGTGATTCAATAAAACATACAAATATTGTTATCGTCCTCAAACGTATCAGTGACATCTAATTTAAATAAAATATAATGAACAAATCAAGATCCTACCTAGGATTCTGCCTTCCTCAAATTTCCTTGTTCATATGTTACCCCTATGGTTTCCCTATCAGCTAATGTCGTGTTTCAGCAACCGTCGTCCGCCGCCTGACGTCAACTGTTTCATATCAACTTCTTTTTGCATTGGTGGCTTCTACTTTCTACATTACCTACATGGGAGCACGTCTTTTAACGACATTGACTGTTAACTCTTTCCTGTTTCGCGCATATTATTGAATTTTTCTTCACATTGATCTCGATGAAAGGTTTAAGTGTAAAGCTCACCTCGAAGACATTGTCACGTGGTATGACCTGCAATTCATCGTGTTTGCCGCAAATGTAATTCACTCTCTTTTTTTTTTTATCACAGAGGTCGAGAATGTGGTAGGATTTTCCGACGATCACTGCGACACCACATATACAGTGTGCTGATGACCAGGCAGTCCCTTTACAGAGTGTGGATTTTACCTGCACCTATGATGACATGGTATGATGTTTACATACATTTTTTCACAAAAGAATGGTAATCATGCACTGTATATAGGGAAATAAATATATGTCCACTTCAGATTTTGCCCTTCGCTGATTCATAATTGCCCAGTGTAAACATTCATATATAATTACTTTGTGATTTGCTAATATCCGATGTAATTTTGAAATTGTCTCATGACGGACACGGTCTTCTGGTAAAATTATCAATTACGCAAAAAAGCATTTTCACAAAACGCAAATGATATGTGCGCAGAGATGTTTTCAAGGTATAACATCAAAATCAATCAGAACAAATATTGTTCTTGGTATAGGTAACGCGATAAAAATGATCTGCTAAAATGAAACCGTTGTATTTCGTTAAACATCTCGTGAATTGGAAACGCATGTTTTTATTATTGAAATTATCCTGATTCGATAACAGTGGTCTATTAAGTATAAACGTACTTGTATTGGAAAAGTAGAGTGCTGGAAAGCGGTGTATACACCAGGTCTCTGAAGCTCGTAACGCCTGGAAAACGACGGGTTAAAGTAACCAAATCATGTTCCTTCATCATGATGTTACCAATACCATTCAGTTACCGTTCTTAAATTATAACAGCTTATTAATAAATTAATGAATTTAACCAGTCGTTATACGAAAATCGAATTATTTCCCAACGATTTGAAAGGTCTATTGCGGTATTTTTAATTCAGCTGAACAGGATATAAACGTGAATTATTTTATAAAGTGACCAGTGTGGTGAAATCATTTTAAAACTGGGGTTAAACAATATGTGTTTAACCGAAACAACATCACAACGTCAGGTTTTATAACCGATACAACTTTCACACATAAGCCTACATCATATCAACACAACCCTTAGGAAGTAATACTCTATTCTCAATCACAACAGTTAACTCTTTAGACATACAGCAACAACATTAAATAGTCTAAGGGTAAACTACAGACAATTGCGACATAGCTATACTCGGTTTTACTGGTACTCACTGTGAATCGAAGGTGCTCATATGAGGGTCACACACAATGTAACAAGACTTCTCTTTCCATATGTTTGTATCAGATTTGTCGTATATGGTTACCTGTGAACAGTCGAGGGCTTATGGGATGAGTGGATTAGTGTTATGCGCCTTTTAAAAGAGTGACGTATACTTAAATTGGCTATGCACGTTACGGAAAATTAGAGTTAAATGATTGATTACAACACTATTTTTATAAGAGAATTTACATGCAAACGTATTACCATTACAGATTCAGACAGTCCGTTCCAGAACTCATGTTCTCTGTGGTGCGTCCTAAGCTGGAAGAGGTAAGTTTTGTCGTTCAGACGGTACGATGTTTCATCATCATCAAATGTTGATATAGTGAAATCATATGATACGTTCCATCTATGTCCGACAGTGTAGTCAGTGTTCGTCCCTCCTTGCATTCCTAAAGAACACTTGTTATGATTTCCAATATTCGCTTGGTTACATTTCAGGTAAGAATATGATTTCTAGCCGTCTATCAAATCTGTAAAAGCTGTGCAATGTCTATCTGGATCCTGTGTAGTCGTTTGACATCCTATCGGAACAGTAGGTCTTACACGAACGATATGGTTTCCACCGCGGGGCAGAGAAACGTGTTTATCACTCTCGACCTTAAAATAAAAAATGTCATAAGAATAAGTACGTTTTATGCATTGCTTTATCATTGCAGAACATGTTGGTCGACGATGTGGAACCTTTTTTTGTGTGTGCGTGTGTGTGTGTGTGTGTGTGTGTGTGTGTGTGTTATTTCGCTTCGGTTTCCCTCACTGCTAAAACTCTACTGTTGTAAATTAATGCATCAAAGGCATCACAGAGAAGGGACTTTACAATTGAAATATTGTGCGTAGTAATCTATGGGAATACACATTTCTATACTTGTGTATTGTTATTGACGGGATTGCGCTAGAGTTATGTATTGTAGATCGAAGCCTACCTTTAGTCCAGCAAAGAACTCAGGACTTTTCCTCAAAGCTCCAACCTGTCCATCCATTGTACTCATTGCTCCAACCTCACAGAAAATCTGAAAGAAAGCCACCAGCACAAAGCAGACATAAACGCTTTAGGAAATGATAAAATTTTGATCGATAACGGAAGCCTCTATTTAATCATTTTGTTTGCTGCATACTATATAATCAATGGGACATGTTTCGAATCCAAAGCATCTTCAAAACAAATCTAAGTGGAAAGAATTATTATTAATAGCAATATACAGGGTTATAACTATTCACTTTGTACAGTGTTATTACGGGTATAAGTTTTCATTTCAGTAATAATTACCATAACTTTAGTATGCATATACAATACCTACACCAATCTTTGTAACCCAAAAACAAAAAATTCAAATATCCCTACCTCCCTACCTCCCTACCCCCCTACCGTGACGGAAACCATATCTCTACGACAGAGCCACGGAGTGATCTCCCTTCCTCAAACCCCTTTTATGGAGGGTTATTACTAATCACTTTGTACAGTGTCATTATTAATATAAGTTTTCAGGGTAATTGCAAATTATTGAATACAATTAAACATAACACTACTGTATACTGGGTAAATATTAATCGTTGTGTAGAAGGGTTAATGTAAATTATTGCACACAACGTATGTCTAAAATGTTGTATACAGGGTTGTGATACATTGATGTATACAGGGTTGTGATAAATTGCTGTATACAGGGTTATTAAAAACAATTGCATACAATGTAAACATTGCACAACTGCGCACACGGTCGTTCTTCATCACTTTGTACAGGGTTATTGTAAATTAATTGTCTTAATTACTATGTACAAGGTATTTCTTAATCACTCTGTAGAGGGTAATCGTTAGGTTTTATCAGTTTTATTTTTTGAGAAAGCCGTTGCTAAAAAAGCTACGACCGCATTATCTTTCAGTGGAAGTAAACATGTACAATATAACGCTGTCGATCGACAACACAGTGTCAACTATGAGTCTGAGTTTACACATGGTACTCTTCTCACTAAAGGTATCAAAATGTTTAAATCTAATGGGATATTTGTGTTCATAGCTAGATTTGAATAAAATGAAAAGGGTGAACTTCAGTATGCACGTACTGAAATCGTACTTCAGGAAAAATTAAAACCGTACAAATTACGATATCAATATGTTTAAACGTAAACTAGATTACTCATTTAATTATAACGATGATGAGGGTGTTTTTTGGAAGATGCTTTTGATTCAGAATAGATTCCTGTTCTTGTATTCCAAAATAAATGCTAGGTGAATAAAGCGAGAATTTACGTTCCCTCTTGGACAGGAAAAACATTTTTGTAAGTCAGAAGTTCACCGACAGCTGCCGCTTTAACGTATGGTTGTACAGTAAAGGATTTCTTCAGTACTGATTAAAAACGCCAAGAAAGAATTGTCTCTGGTCAATTTCTCGATATGGATTGTTCATCAACAGTATCAAACTATATTATCATGAGTAATTTTGTGGCAAGGTTATAAAAAAACTTACTTCACTAAACTGTCCCTTTAAAGTCCGTGTACAAGGTTGTTAGAAAATCATTGTATATCGTGTTAGTTGTAAACATTGTGCACAAGATAGTCAGACATCTCTTTGAAGTGGATAATTGTAAATCAGTGTAAACAGAGTAAATATTAATCAAACTGTGTACAAGTTAGTTAAAAAATACTGTGAACAGGGTTATCGTAAATCACTGTTGACAGGGTTATCGTAAATCAATGTATACAGGGTTATCGTAAATCAATGTTGACAGGGTTATCGTAAATCAATGTATACAGGGTTATCGTAAATCACTGTGTACATGGTTTATCGTAAATCACGGTTTACAATGCTAGTCTTAAAATTTGTGTACAATATAGTCAAAAATCATAGGGTTATCGTAAATCAGTCTATACGATGGTAATCTTAACTACTCTTGACTCCCTGTCCGATTCGATTTCTTATTGCTTTTTAAAGCAATATATTTAATGACTCGTTTTGTGAATAACTGTGTAAAGAGTTATTTTCAATCATCGTGCAGGGTCCATTTTACTTTTCAGTGTTAATCACTGAGTTAAAGCTCTAAAAATGTTATTGTTGATGCTATGTGTTTTTTGTTTATAACTGATTGCATGGTAAGTGCTAATTACTATGAACAAGGTTACTGTTATCACTGTGAACAGGGTTATTGTAAATCACTCGGTAAAAGGTTTTATTTACAAATCTCTTTGTAAAGGATTTTGTGTTTTAATAAGTGTGCACAGGGCTATTGCTATTCACGGTGTAAATATATTTTGATCATAATTCACTTAGTGCAGGGTTATTGTAAATCACTATGAACAGGGTTATTGTGAACCATTACGTACGAGGTTATTATTAATTACATTTTACAGAGTTTGTGTTAATCGCATTGTAAAGAGATATCTTTTAATAAAGCAATTGACCAACGCCGACACCAACACCCGGACGCCAGGATGACAACATTAACCTCCGTCTAGATTTGACAAAAAACAAGAAAGTAGCGTGAAAACCTGACAACTTGATGCAGGCATGCATGGCGTATCCTGTTTAACTTATACGATAACTGTTGATAGCATTGTGTAGGTATAATAAGAGCGATACAAGTTGAGGGGTACTTACAGTTATACCCATCGTATTAGCATCTGAAGGGAGTTCAGACTCCAGAAGGAATGCCTCTGTTGTATCACCAACTGTCTTAATGTGGTCAGATATAAAATTACCATTGACGTAAAAGAAAACAGTATAGAAAAGTCCACTTTTCTCAGTGAAGATGCACACAAATTTCAGAATGTGGATATAGAAAGCTGAAGTTGTTGTCTTCTGTTCGATCCGGATCAGCTGTGGTACGATTTGAACATTGGATGGAATGAAATCTGGTGCAGGATCTAAAATAGGTGATCGTTACAATTAGAAACATAAGGTCATTTGATGTGTAGTGCTGTGATGTATAAGAAAACTAGACATTATCTAAACTTGGATGACAAGGCGGTTTCACATCACTCGTCACTAAAAACTAAATCTAGGTAAATTCAAGTTATGATACGTACTCATAGTTAGAATAGGGCTAATGGCGAAAATACAGCAAGGTAAACTCCTGAACAGAATCAAATATGTTGATATTCATATCAAATAGCACTGTAATATAATATTTTACTTATGAGGTCATACAAATTACTCATGATATTCAACAATCTACGTCTCTCAAGAAACTGTAAGATACAGGTTCGTTAGTGTTCAACATTTGTAAAGCAAACCTGTTGTATATATATAATCGACTGATACATATCATAATCGTAAACAGGTAGACGAAGGGGGTATGCTATTATTTAAAAGTGGTTTTATTAATGATCAGAACGTTGAAGTCGCGACGCTTAATGGACAAACAGATATTTGTTGAAGGATATTTTGCAATTTATCACAGGAAGACACCGACGTCATGGCAGTTGTACATATCCACGCGATTGACCTATTTGTGTCGTCATTGCAACCTCGAATATTGTATGGTCACCTAAATGTTTTCTGCTTATGATGGTCAAACATTACGCGGGAAGGACCAAAATAACGCTGATACAATTCCATTCATAACTCCATGAATGCATTTTTTAGCAGTTATCATATAGGTTTACTTACCGTTTGACGTGCTCTGAATGGCTGTAAAAGACATGAATTTAGTCAAAACTAACTTAATCATTGAAATAATTTTTAATAAAACGTTTATTTTTTCTATTGCCACGGTTATAGTTAACGTCCGAGAAAAATGGTGAATTGGTTTTATGGTAAAATTTATTGCTTTTTGTTTCTTCTTACGACTGTCACTGATAATGCCCATAACATTTTCACAGCTTCATTCAGCAACTGGACTTTTACCTATAAAATGTTACATGTGAATACAGATAATTGTTTGTCTTCAAAAAACGATAACATATAGGTTGTAGCAATTCATTCTACTTACTTTTTAAAAATGTTTTGATTCCCTTACAAGCATCAATGGTACAATCAAAGAACAAATAAAACAATCGTTCTAAATTGTATTGATAAAAACATTGTTTCTCAATCAAACCTGAAGAAATATGTGTCGAACCGAGCAGGGAAGGGGGAGGGGTAATTTCATCAAACATATACCTGTTACACATTTTTATTCATAAATGCAGTGTAGATAATAACTGTAGCATGCATCTGGCGTTGAGATATATTAGTCCACAATAAAAACAAAGGAATCTAAATACTTCCTTTGGTTATATAACAATTGAGAAAACCTTTATACTTTACTGTGATCAAACCGTAATTTTGTCTGCCAGTGCTAACAGAACACCCAATGTTCAGCTATATCAGTATTATATGCACTGTACTTCTAAAACAGTTTTAAAGAAAGAAAAAATGGTTTCTATCCTTTTGCACAGTAAATAAGAGTTGGCTCAGACGTCAGATGCATGTATCGATAAAAGTAAAAGTTATTATCAGGATTTTGTGCGAGAAAACACTGCAGTTTAAAAAATATATATAATTAAAGGATCACCCCCTGCTAACTTCCAACCCCCCCCCCCCCTTTCTTTTGNCTAACTTCCAACCCCCCCCCCCCATTTCTTTTGATTTCTTAAGATGCTTACAAAAACAATTTGGTAAGATTATTGTATGGTTCTAGTGTGTATTTATGCATAAAATAGACGGTATCTTTGGCATGATTACAAGCCAATATATAGCAAGGTCTTCGTTGTCTTCTTTCCAGGTTTGTGTTTTATGTGTCGTTTATTTGTCTTATTTTTAGCTTTAATGTTACACAAAATTACATCATAATAAGTAAGAAAGCTTCAAAATTTAACATGGAGTTCTGTCAAAAATAGGCCATTGTGATTTTGATCCTACATTTTTCCTTTTTCCCCTCATATCTCAAAATAAATCATAATCTCACCTAATTTTATGTCATATCCTGACATCATAACCGAAAGGTGTATTTATGAAAAAAATCCAAAACAAACAACTAACTTATCAGTGATATCTACTTAAAGGTCCAAATTGGCACCAACATTTATTACTATTTGAATTATAACCTGGAGACAACGTACATACATCATTGAGGACTTACCAAAACAATATCTGCCACTTGATGCACGAGACCCCAGTCCTAGAAGGAAATATAGTCTGTAGTCTCCACAGTTCGTCACTTTGATCGTGAATGTTTCAAAACAAGAATTTCCGGATTCAAACAAAGATGAACAGCAAATCCGTGTGTCCTTCTCACCTTCCTCTACTGTCGGGATATTGTCTGCAAAAACCAGGTGACTAGTACACACTTAACGAAAGAAGAAATATGTGATGATTGAACATAGGCACAGATCAGACCGGATCATCTTAAACTGTATAAGAAAAAGTGAAGAAATATACGAATGTCCCGAATTATTTTGTTTTAATTCAAAACAGTACGGAAAGAAAATTTAATTTAATTTCTAAAATTTTGATTTTCTTTTCAAAATATAGGTGATCCTTAGCAAACTGTGAGTAGTTTGTATATTTTTCTTGATTATGTCACCTAGATCTTTGTCTGAGCTTCACTATTATCCGAAAAACCTTGCCGAAGCCACCAAACATAGTATTCCATCCGGTTGTATTATACTAACATAAGGTAAGCTATTTGCTGCAAGAACCACAATGCTGAAGCTTTAGCAGATAATAACAACTACAGCTTTAAGGATTCTGGTATGTCCGAGCATGGAAGAGGCCCCCTTACCTTATGGAACCTTTATCTTTGTCTATGTTTCACTATTAGCCGAATACTATCGCTTATCCATAGTTGGTCATCCGCAATGATCCCAATTGATAAAGAAATTAAACACGTTTTATGTATTCATAATTGTTTTAGTGCATCCCGCTAAAGTGGTCAGCTTGATCTATATTGTGTATTCATCCACAGTTGAAGAAATAAAGCAACACATGCAAAAACATGTTAAAGAAATTAGTTTATTGAATTTTCTCCGAGCAGATGATCCAACTTTTTGGACTTGTTTAAGCTCTAAAACTGGTTGTCCTTGGCGTCGGGCAAGTAGCTTTTAACAACCCTGATCAAAAGATTTTAAAAGTGGTAAAATATAGGTTTGATCGGGAACCCTAAACAGACATCTATAGTTCTTGACTTTATTTCTGTATTAACTGTAATGTGAATCCAATTAATTAATATCCCATTTTTGTTTGCTTTGGTTATATTGCGTTCAGCGTTCGAACAACAGCTAAAATAAGAACTTACCTCAATTATTTAAATGTTTGTGTGTATGTGTGTATGTGTGTTACATTGTGTAGGTGGTATGTTGGAGTAGTAGCCTCCATGTGATAGCACGGATCCGAAGCCAACTTTAGACTGCTACCTGTCTGAAACACCTTGTAGAAGCCACCTAGCATATTATTCAATCCGGTTACATTATACTGATAAAGGGTTAACCACTTGCTGCGATAACCAAAATGCTGAACCTTAGCAGGGAATAACACTTACACTGCTACAAGCGAGGTATGTCAGGCAAATTATAAGGAAAAGGCGGGAGGAAATATGTCGGTCCAAAATGTTGCAATGGTTGCTTTTGTGTCCCAAAGCAGAAGGCCACAAGCAAATCCCAAACTCTGGAGGGGTTCTAACATTAGATGTCTCTTCTAACATCCAGTGGATCACAACATGTTTATACGTTTCTCAATCCCAGATCTTCAGGGGTGATAATACCGGCTGTTGTCAGAATGTGGTCATCAATACCCTATATAAGAAGTCTCATCATGTATTCTGTTTTCAATCTGTCATTCCCTGCAGCTGAATCTAGGTCAAAAAGTGTTTTGTATTGTTTTACCGCCCGTTGGCATATAAAATCAATTAGGATAAACCAAAAACGTAAAAAGATATTCATAGAAAGTATTATATTACACTAACCCTAAATAATGGAAAGAGTTTAAATATGGAAACTACGCCAATAGCAAACAAACCGATGATATAATATCTCAAATCGTGTTGTAAAGATGAGAGTAATGTTGTCTATTAATGAAACCAAATTAAACAAATTGTTTGTAGTGAACCTTGTCACGCATTTGTTGAAATTTAAAACTAAAATATTTCAGAGTGATAACCGGGGTAATGGCAAGGAAACCATAGGATACACTTAACAGCAAAGTGAAAACACTGACCTTCACAATTAAAGTCTATTTCTCACCGAATCATGGCGATTCATCAACTTGCGTCTCACAAAACCTTCTATTGTAATTGTATTCGTTAGTAGCCGTCGTCTGACGTGTTAGCCTCGATAATCTGAGTAAACTCTTGTTACTGACTCACCTACGTCATGTAAGCATCGCCGTCTGATGTGTTAGCCTCGATAATCTGAGTAAACTCTTGTTACTGACTCACCTAGGTCATGTAAACATCGTCGTCTGACGTGTTAGCCTCGATAATCTGAATAAACTCTTGTTACTGACTCACCTACGTCATTTAAACATCGTCGTCTGACGTGTTATCCTCGATAATCAGAGTAAACTCTTGTTACTGACTCACCTACGTCATGTAAGCGTCGCCGTCTGATGTGTTAGCCTCGATAATCTGAGTAAACTCTTGTTACTGACTCACCTACGTCATGTAAACATCGTCGTCTGACGTGTTATCCTCGATAATCAGAGTAAACTCTTGTTACTGACTCACCTACGTCATGTAAGCATCGCCGTCTGATGTGTTAGCCTCGATAATCTGTGTAAACTCTTGTTACTGACTCACCTGCGTCATGTAAACATCGCCGTCTAACGTGTTATCCTCGATAATCTGAGTAAACTCTTGTTACTGATTCACCTACGTCATGTAAACATCGCCGTCTGACGTGTTAGCCTCGATAATCTGAGTAAACTCTTGTTACTGACTCACCTGCGTCATGTAAACATCGCCGTCTGACGTGTTAGCCTCGATAATCTGAGTAAACTCTTGATATTGACTCACCTGCGTCATGTAAACATCGCCTTCTGACGTGTTAGCCTCGATAATCTGTGTAAACTCTTGTTACTGACTCACCTGCGTCATGTAAACATCGTAGGTACTAACACGTACACGTATCATACAACTGAGAGATTAGGCGTCCATGTGAGTCATTGTGTTAGTATAGATTGGGGTAAACGGCTGGTGTTGGAGAGACTGCAGTGTCCTAATTTTAGTGTTAAAGAGGAAATAAATAAGATCGACGTTATAATTAAATTACTTGTATATCTGAAAGAAAGGAAAATTGAAGGACCTTACAAGGATTCTGTCAGCATTCCTGAAAAACACTTCTAACATTTAAGATTCTAAAGAAAGCAAAAACCAATTGACAGGAGAAGAGGCACAAGTTGTTCCCATGCGTACACTTGTGGTACGCCTAACAATATCTGTCACTCACCATTCATCCAGCACTGAGTAGTTGATCCACAGGCAAATTTGCCGGCCTCCATAGACATGGCCATGTCGAATTTGTTTCCGGCCGAGTAGTACTTTTCTGTTAAATGGTTGTCATTTTCTTTTGTGTCCTGCTCTGATGGTCCACGTGAGGATAAGTCAGGCACCAGGGGATGGTTTGTGTCACATGGGTCTGTAAACGTAAGCGTTATAGTTAAACACTCACACTGAAGTAAAGGTGAAGCAATATTATGATCGTTAGGCACTGTTATTATTATGCAAGTTATATTAAATATATAATAAAAAGAAAAGCTAGAACTGTTTAATGAATAAATATGGAATCAAACACTCTAAGATACGGGGAAGAGTTTCGATAAAAACGAACAATGGATGATAGCTATAAAATACTTAAACATGTACGTAGGACGGTTTTTCAAATTGCCTTTACGAAAAGTCCCGATGTTACAGAGCACCATGTAAGTGACTATACAGGCTGAGCTAAAGAGCAATGACCACTGGTAAATTGGTAACATTATATACTTATCCTTAATGGAAAGCATTTGAACTTAAATGTAAAACCAAGTTTAGCGAATTTAAGGAGGTGATAGTACACAACAGCTGATGCCTACTGTTGGCGGTGCAAGTATGATAAAGGTTACTTCCTGAGTGGGTAGTCAGGACATGAGGTTACCATGTAAGTGCTAAGTAGACTAGCTAAAGGGAAAATGGCTTTAGCTAGTAGTCATAGACAGGATGGCTCCCTACAGACAAATCAATATATCATACAGGTTTGTCCTATTAAAACAAACAGTACAACATGGTAATAGTATATCAATACAATTGATGCCAACGAATAAAATACTTATATATATATAGGCGATGGTATATGGTTTGGGGAATAAAAAAAGAAGATATATTTACCCTGTGAAGCCACGTTGGCAGAGAAAAACAGGACCTCGAAACACACAACCAGTAGCATCATGACGATGTACCACGCACGGACCTATAGAAAAAGGATGAAAGTACATGAAACAAACACACATGTGATTGCACTTTTAAAAGTTGGTAACAGATGGAGTATGAAAGAACCCACTGCATTATATAGCGGTTTCGTCCTTTGGTGATGCTTAAAGTGCAAAAGACGTTTAGCAAACGTACATTCTAAATATTTCAAACTTATTATATACACAACAATGTCCTACTATTGAGTAATATAATATTTAAATACATGTAGGAAGCTTAATCTCGAGATAACAAATGACATGTAAACAAAATCGTATTTCGTACTCAAAATCGATAAAACTATTTTCCAATTCTGTGATGGTATGTTAAGCGTCAGGTGTGCCCAATTTAACTAGCAATCGTTATTGCATGAACACAGATCTGCTAGGCGACATAGACTAAGTAAATGTGCATTGTTTCTATAGAGATTTGTGTTGGAATGGTTTTCAAGTTTATCACATTTTGGTATGCCCCAGATATTTAAATTCTGATAATTGTATTAACAACGTTCGGCAATGATCCCTTTTTGAACTCATCAGGCCAACACTGTACTTGCATTACTTTGTTCCTTTAGAAGAATGTACTGCCACGGTACGATTAGTTTTTTCCTTGCAAAGTGACACATAGGGTTAAATAATGTATCACCTTGATGTTTTGTCTCAAGCCAGAAAATTTAGTTAAAAACCATGATATAGAATAAATCAATGTTTCACCTACCTTAGGCATTAGTCCAGAGATTTATCCTTCTACCATGGAAGTTATAAAAGCGGTAACAAGAATTTCTGTTTTGTATATTTTGAACTACACGGGGACAATATATCTTGTATTATGGGTGCTACGGCCAAAACATTATGCACCAACATTTGTTATGCACAATGGATTACGTATTTCAATGAAGGGGTACAAGGTGTTTGAAATATACGCATTTAATGACGGATCTCAACACCGTAAAACAATGGTCACAATGATATTATCAAACCAAATTGAAACGTATCTTTAAAGACGTAAAACAATCAGACACGCTTTATAGATATATTATTGTATGGTATTATATAATTATTTGCATGAACTATGTCATTTGAACCAGTGCTATAACAAAGTTTTAAGTATTCAACAACTCAATAAATGAATGATATCGCGCAATAATAGAGCAGTCTGTGCTCACGACGTGACCAGAATTACATGAAACCATAGGCAGACAATCTATTGTTTGTGTTTGTATCATATATGAGATTAAAAAAAACCACCCAGAGATGTATATGTAGTTATGTTTTTTCAGACAAGAGTACAAAGGAATATCAAGATAGAACGCGACTAAAGCCATATACAATTTAAATTTCATACTGTAAAAAGGTAGGCATATCATGTTATGACTCCTTACACTGTAAGAAGGGTGGGCATATCACGTTGTGACTCCGTACACTGTAAGCAGGGTGGGCATATCACGTTGTGAATCCGTACACTGTAAGCAGGGTGGGCATATCACGTTGTGACTCCTTACACTGTAAGCAGGATGGGCATATCACGTTATGACTCCTTACACACTGTAAGTAGGGTGGGCATATCACGTTGTGACGCCTTACACTGTAAGCAGGGCGGGCATATCACGTTGTGCCTCCTTATACTGTAAGGAGGGTGGGCATATCACGTTGTGACTCCTTACACTGTAACCAGGGTGGGCATATCACGTTGTGAATCCGTACACTGTAAGCAGGGTGGGCATATCACGTTGTGACTCCTTATACTGTAAGTAGGGTGGGCATATCACGTTATGAATCCGTACACTGTAAGCAGGGTGGGTATATCACGTTGTGACTCCTTACACTGTGAGCAGGGTGAGCATATCATGTTGTGACTCCTTACACTGTAAGTAAGGTGGGCATATCACGTTATGACTCATTACACTGTAAGTAGGGTGGGCATATCACGTTGTGACGGCTTACACTGTAAGCAGGATGGGCATATCACGTTGTCACGCCTTACACTGTAAGCAGGGTGGGCATATCACGTTGTCACGCTTTACACTGTAAGCAAGGTAGGCATATCACGTTATAACTCCTTACACTGTAAGCAGGGTGGGCATATCACGTTGTGACGCCTTACACTGTAAGCAGGGTGGGCATATCACGTTGAAACTTTCTATAATGTAAGAAGGGTGGGCATATCACGTTGTGACGCCTTACACTGTAAGCAGGATGGGCATATCACGTTGTGACTCCTTACACTGTAAGCACGGTGGGCATATCACGTTCTGACGCCTTACACTGTATGCAGGGTGGGCATATCACGTTGTGACTCCTTACACTGTAAGCAGGGTCGGTATATAACGTTATGACTCCTTACACTGTAAGTAGGGTGGGCATATCACGTTGTGAATCCGTACACTTTAAGCAGGATGAGCATATCACGTTGTGACTCCGTACACTGTAAGCAGGGTAGGCATATCACGTTGTGACTCCTTATACTATAAGCAGGGTGGGCATATCACGTTGTGAATCCGTACATTGTAAGCAGGGTGGGTATATCACGTTGTGACTCCTTACACTGTAAGTAAGGTGGGCATATCACGTTATGACTATTTACACTGTAAGAAGGGTGGGCATATCACGTTGTGACGCCTTACACTGTAAGCAGGGTGGGCATATCACGTTGTGACTTTCTATAATGTAAGCAGGGTGGGCATATCACGTTGTGACGCCTTACACTGTAAGCAGGATGGGCATATCACGTGACTCCTTACACTGTAAGCAGGGTCGGTATATAACGTTATGACTCCTTATACTGTAAGTAGGGTGGGCATGTCACGTTGTGAATCCGTACACTTTAAGCAGGGTGGGTATATCACGTTGTGACTCCTTACACTGTAAGTAAGGTGGGCATATCACGTTATGACTCCTTACACTGTAAGTAGGGTGGGCATATCACGTTGTGCCGACTTACACAGTTACCAGGGTATAAACGTCATGTTGTGACTCCTTAATCTGTTCGAAGATTGGAAAATTTCGCGTAGCGAAGGTTTTAGCAAAGGTTTTGAGATATATATATATGAAATATATCCAAGTTTTAAATAGTATATCAATAGATATTCGGGTGTGACTATTTTCGCGCTAATTCACTAATTTCCACACAGCGACAAAGGCGTCCTGGCAACAGCTATATGAATCTGGATGATGGACAATGCGACATTGCACTCTACTCCATTAGATTACAGCGACAACAAACGTACCAGTTATTTTCTTCTTTAACTGTGAATGGCACGTTTATTGAAATCTTCGTCTTTTTGTCGTTACTACAGTGTTTGTGTTTACACAGGATAGCATAATATAGAACAACTTCCTGGATGATAAGATTAATCAAGACCTAATGGATGATATGCAGGTTGGTGAAGACTTTTGGCAAGTGGTATGGTCGCTATCCTTGTCTCGTGATTAAACAATGTATTATCCTGTGAGACGGTTTTAATATCGACTTTTAATCATGGTCGAAACTGTGCCTTGTGGTATCGTTGTCAACATACAGGTTCATTCTTTGAGGATATGACATTACTTGGATTTGATCTAAATTTACTTGGTGAGTTTTGTCATTGAAAGAAGAACCGTTCTGTATCTAGAAATATATGCATCGTCTCGATTGTACAATTTGTCAAAGAAAGTATTCGTCTACAGAACAACATTAATGACGTGATAATTATTGTCAATCAATACTCTTATAAGCACCGCTTTTTTCCCTTCATGACATTCTGTTTATCTTGGATGTGTAATACTTTTTGACTTAGCTGTATCAGCTGCACAAACGGATTACCACATAGCAGGCAGGCTACCACATACCTTCATGTGTGATCAAGGAATCGAACCCAGGCCTCTGCAGTAGAATGCTTTTCACCGCGCCACCCGATCAATCTATGACAGGTATATGAATTATGATACAGATGTATCAGGAAACTTTCAAGATTTATTTCCAAAAAACAAATTGCGCTTAAAGATCTAAATTATTTCTCAAGATGGTATAAGTATTTGCACTCCGGTTGAATCGAATGTGATTTGCTTTAAAAACGCTGTTGCCTTTCATTGCGTAATCTACACAGGATTCTTTTTGAAAATACAGAATCTTCTGTAAGTTTACCTGTATGTGTGTTACGTTCATATTTCAAGATACAAGGTGGTTGACTCTGTCGGTGGATTTTGCATCCCTGAGAACTGTCGACGCCTTTACTACCGTTAAATTCTTTTAATAGTGACGTTGTTCATAATAAACACACTTTACACATTATCTAATTTCAAATTAACCAGCACACCTCTATTGTTTTGAAATTTATGAACTAAGATGTGTTACGCGCCCTTCTGTTTCAGCAGTAGTTTAGTCCAGTTCGGATGTCCACTTTGCCCCTATCATCACCGATTACACCTACAGGGACGTAACAGCTGGATGATGCAGTGTAATACACTTTAGGCATACTGTATCTTCTATCAAATTGCAATCACCTGTGTGTGTGTGTGTGTGTGTGTGTGTGTGTTACTTTCATCTGTAAAGTGGTCAATGTTGCAATAAATCAGGTGTCATGGTCCTACTTATGAATTATTTTTAAAGGAATTGTCTGAAATACGAGAAAAAATAATCACGTTAATACCGAAGATATTACAAAGGCACATGTCCAATCCAAATTATACAAGTGCACGTTGTACGTACATGTATGTGTGATACCAACGGTCGACAAGGCCGGGTATGTTTCCGCGTTATACGAAAATGTCAGTTCCGCGAAATTCACGATATAATCAGGCACAAGTACGGCGTGTGTTATAACGTTTTACACTTTAGGTGTAGTCTTCTAATCTACAAAGAAAACAATTAATGCCGTCATCCTGATAAGCAGACACGCTATACGTACAATTCAAGCGTTATAAAGATATTTCTATGGTGGTGATATTTTAAACACTAATAAAACTTACATAGTAGGTCAGCCAAGCGATTACTCGAAGGTATTGTTTTGTTAACAGTTTGAACGGTATTGAAATGTACATATTAGATCAACAAAACGATTTATCACAGGTATTCTTTTGTATGGTGTATGGTGCTATGTAATTCATTTTTGACATTATGTGTCTGTAAGTTTTTTTCTTCATACCTCTTTAAACATTTTTATTCATGAATACTTCATTTTTATTGCACAAAAGCCAGACAAAACCTTTTTTTTATTTTGAAATGCATCTGACGTGTAGATTTATTAAACCAGAATATAAACCAATGTATATACATACTTCACTTTTGATGTATAACAAGTAAGTGTACCTTGCTATCTAAGTGTAAAAAGCTTGAATTCTAATTTTTTATCAAGTTTAGAGTCATTTACAGTGTAATAAAATATTATTGAAAAAGGCGGATGCACATCAAAATATTATATTTTTTTACAGTTTTGATTGATATTTTGGCGAACATAATGGGATGCATTATAACCCTAATCACTAATGTTCGATTTTTCCAAAACCACTTTAGGGTTCCGCATTCAAGATTCATTGTTTAAACATACTAAGAGTTTGTACACATTTTTGGAATATCAATAGTGTGCAACATCTGGGACACTGTTTCATTAGTATGCATTTTTCAAGTGAAACATGTGAGTGTTATGATAAATTATGAACGTTGTGGCAGAATAATTGTCGCCTAACTTGTGATGTCTTGTGTCATGTTAATCTTTCTCAATTGGGTAAATTTCAAATTGTAAAACGCTCGGTAAACATCATTTCTTTATGCCATTTGACAAATACCTACATATATAGTTAGATTATCATGAAACCAACCATCACTCGTTGGGGAACCTCGTTAGGTAAGTGTCAACTCCCTCAGAATGGCTGTAAACGTGTTTGTGTACCTCGTTATTTAATGTTACTCGTGACCTTCCTTCATTAATAGTGTTTGCCGTGTATATATGGATCCTTTATGGTGTATTAAATCAGACAGGTTTAATGAAAGATATTCTAAATGATAACGAAATTGAAATAGAGGTTTGTTAAGATTTTGTATTCAAACTACAATCCACACGAACAGTATTTAGATATCGTCCAGAAACTAAAAACAAAATATGAAGAAAGTCAAATTGTCAATAAGGAAAAACTAGAAGAATTTGTAGATAAACACCGATAAAGGTCTAGCTATGCACATACACCTAAACACCTATATTTTGAAAACTGTAATTATAAACATAAATAAACAATATATATTGTACATTTGATAATTTACACATTTTGTGTAACATCTAACACTACGGAGTCCGTTGGCATAACTCACTTAGATATGTTATCTATGTATATTTATAATAAAGTCTCGGGTGTAACTTCCGTTTTCCTCTTTCTCTTTTTTCTCTTCTTTTTCCTTTTCTTCTTCGTTTGTTGAAGAGATTCACCGGTTTCTTCCATTGTGTTTACAGTGGATGCTGCTTCACTACACATCCCGATGCCTGTGGGTAACGCCCATTTCTCCTCTGTCATTTTCGAACCCTCTAATCTTAGAGGGGATTCACTATTTTCCACCCGATAAATACTGTCTATGATATCATTTGATTGTTGTGTGATTGATACAGTTATTCTATTTTGTATCTTAAGATTTTTTCTTGCCTTGTGTTCTTCGTTAATATGCTCCGGATGGGAATGCAAAGTCATCGTTTTATCCGAAGATTCCAGTTGTGTTTCAGATGATTCCGCCTCTTGGACAAACTGTGTGGCACCAGTCTTTAGGAATTCAATACTCTCATTTTTACTGCTATAGTCTTGCATTTGTTTCTGATCGTCATAGAAGATATTATTGTCAAATGTGTTGATTCGTAACCTCGTAGATGTTTCTCTATTACTTGGATTGGTGTTGATAATTTCTTCAGATTTAGTTAAAAAGAAGCCAGTTGGAGGGTAGCCTATTTCGACGTCACGCACATTTCCCTGAGAATCTAGATTGGTACTCTCAAAGGTATCGTGGATTTTTGGTGTGTCAGATGGATTTTGTTTATTTTTCATCTTCTTTTTCTTCTTCTTCTTTCGTTGTCTTCCTGCGTTAACGTCGGTCACATGTTGAATATCAACATTCATTTCTCTTTCTTGTAACTTAGCTTTCCTCATTGTATAAACATCATTGTTAACATTATAAGTGCTATCCATTAGGGTAGCAGTTGTGTGTCCTCCTCTCCCTCTATAAGCCCCCTCCAGGATGGGATCATCCGATATCTCGTTTCTAAATAAATGTAAATAAATATATGTAGAATGCAAAAAATGTCTAGTGGTTAATCTTTGGTGTTTGTTATATTATTATATAGTCTTTACGTGGACTTTTTGACTTTATTATCGTCTATATATTATATTTAGAGTGCCTCTCTACCTGGTCCGGGAACTATTGCACTAAGTATGTTCAAAACAGTGCATAGTTCTAGTATTTACAGCATTCTGCACTATAATCCTACCGTATAATTTCAAAAAAAGGCATCTTTGACCTAAAATAATTAACCTTTTTCCAAATTGCATAATTAAAACTTATTAAACATAAAATCGTGCTAACGAAGACACTGATAGAAGCAAAATCTAATTAGAAGGAAGTAAAAAGAAGGAAACTAAAGTTAAACCAAAAACAATAAATTCCAAAAGGTACTACAGATTCACCTTAGTTTCCTAAATGTCCCAAATATCATGATGTTTGACAAGCAACATCGACCTGATGCTGATTTAAGCTTTTTACACAAATCGTAGCGACGTAAAGATTAACGGTTATTGTTTATATTGGTTTATACCTGTGTGACATGGAGAGAGGAGGTAGGAAAGATTGCCCCCGTTCCAACCCCCTTGCTTTGTTTTCATTATCAACTGCAAACATGGGTTCTCCTGGAACATCCCTTATAACTGTGTTTTCTTCATCAACCTCACGCAAGAGAGGACCGTTGTTACCTTTGGTAGAAGCACCGCTCCGTTTTGCCGCTTTCCTTTTACTAAACAAAACAAATGACGTTGTAATAGAAACATTGCAGTGGTGTTAGATATTGAATCTATTGCTTATAATATCTATTACGATTATCACATAAGTATTTTTGTTTTGATTGTGTTTGTTCGATTCTCATTTCTATGTTTTATATTTTTATGCTATCAAGTGGTTTACCTGCATGTCCAAAGGATACAGCCTATGCACACTATCAGTAAAATGGCAGCAACGATACCGACAACTATAACTGCAATATTTAAGACGATCTGGTCATTATCTAAAGAAAACAGAAACAATAATCAATTATACATGAAGAGAACATCTGCGGCCAGTTGTTCAACTTCTTTATCTACTAATTAATACATAGAGTGCAGACAATCAGGTTAATGAAAACGATTAGCGAAAAATTATATATGTCTATTGATCACATAAGAAAATACCATGTTCCATGTGCAATATGATTGTCATTGTTTTTGCTTATGCTCTCCAGTCTATCAAGAACATGAGTATAGAAAACAAACAATAAAAGACATACTAAAATTCATCAATCTTCATATCACACAAAAAAATAAAGCAATTTCCTTATCAGATCATGATGGCGACCATGAAACCATTCCATAGTCTCCATCAACCTGTAACACTGGAAGTCGATTGTTGTACGTTTGTCCGTCAGTAGGCGACATCTATCACGAAAGTAATGATATCGAGGCGACTTCAACATGTCAGAAACATAGGTTAGTGAAGTAGGGATGCTACTATCAAAAATTGGAGAGTTCTTGATTGTAAAATCGAAATTGTCTCACATGTCTTATAGCCTTTAGTTGTAAGCTGTCCTTATTGGTCATGCTGTAAGAAAAGATAGAGGAAATCGGCTGAAGTAGAAGAATCTATAGCGACCTTGAATCGACGTGGACATGGCAAATTGATAAAAAAACGTATAGTATTAATACCGTGGCAAGTATTCAAATTAGCCCAGCAACTGTAAATATTTTGTTGGGTGTTATTGACAAAGCATTTACATGATACCTTATAAATACAATTGAAGCATAGAAATGTTACCTTGCGCCATACTCTTAAGAAGTGTAGGAGTTGATAGAGTGGTAGACGTCGTTGATATTGTCGGCTTTGTCGTTGGTGGAGCTGTTGGACAACTTCCGGAGTCACCTGGTATTATCATAAAACAATTATTGACATACTTAACGTTGCCGAAATACATAAGGTATTAATAACATAATCAGTAATACAAATATAGAGGGAATCATTAGTATTGAAAAATAGATAGTACACTACAAATTAGTTTTTTACAATATCTAGTACAATACAAATTAGTATTTAACAATAGAAAGAGTACGATACCTGTTATTGTTTTACAATAGAAAAATCAATACTAATTATTATTTTACAATATAATGTACAAACTAAAGATCTTTCACAATTAATAGTACTCTTATTATAACTATTTTACAATTGAAATCACAATAGTGATGAGTATTTTTTCAAAAGAAAGTTCAATACTAATACATATTTTACAAGAGATATTATAATGATAATAAGTTAAGACTCAATTAACGGTGCAATACGTATAGTTTATATTAAAATAGACAGTACAACTCTAATACGTATTTTACAATAGTACAATACCATTAGAATTTTGCAATGTCAGTATATGTGAAAAAATGGGTTTTTAATTCGATAGTGGATGAAACGACAAATCAAAAGAAAGAACATCGAGATTTAAAATGGAACTGAGGAATATTTGTATTATGGGAAGGTATCCTGCCCCTGAATAACATATGAAATGTACCCCTTCTTCACAAATTAGACGTGTTACCCTCCTTGTCTATCTTATGGTAGGTACACCTCCCTGCATATCCCATATTGCACCATTCACGGTTAGGCTCTGGGCAGGGAATGATACCACCTACCGAAACAGTATCGTTCTGCACATCCTGTCAGATGCTGTAGACAATAGGCCATGAACGTCGAACAGTTCTTCAGGACAACGTCGTATGTCTTGATACAACAACCACTGATTCCCTTCATACAAGCTGTTCTGTTTACCATTCCTTCACTTTCTGTTGGCTCGGACCCTTATGTGGATAAGAATCGATACAATATTCTTTTAATATACATATTCCTCATCAGTTATCGTCAGTCATTGTGTTTTTAACTAATCATTATAATGTCACTCGGGTTGGTGGTGATGGGGTTATCGTAGTGTGTTACAGTTCACAAAAAATATTATAACTATTTGTATGTGAATAACTATTGTAAGTATTAACATCGATTTTGAACCGAGATAAAGACAGTTTAGGGAAAAAAGAGTGATTTATCCGACTTATACCTTACCGTTCAACCACACCGGGTAATATGTACCACACGTAGCAATGTTTGGACACGTGCTGGTCATCGGTATGTCCGTCCTATACCATGTTTCCGTTAAACTTGCATCACACAGACCATTCTTGCCATAGAAGGGACAATTCGTGGAGCGTCCGACCACGTCAAGGACAGGCACACTCCCGCTGATACACGGGTCTGTAAGTAAAGTGTTTATAATGACTTTTCACAAGCCACATACAGTTGGGATAATCTATATGTTTAATGCCATTATAATGAAAAATCGGGATGACAAATTTTGTTTTGATGCTTTAGGGATAGAAAACAGATATACCCATGATTATTTAAATATGATAAAAATGTGTCGCTTTTAGCTCTGTCTAGCTCAAGGAAGAATAAAATGTGTCAAATAAATTACTTTAAATACATGTACTTTTATGTCCATTCATGCTCTTTCCAAGATTTAGCCAATATGGGATGAAATCTCCCTATAGTTTACGTTGTTATTGTCGCCGATAAGCTGACACATATCTAATTGGTCAGGAATGGTTTAAAAATCAACAAAAATCTTATTCATTCTCTTCAAGTTAAGTTAAAAATATCTTAAGCCTAACAAAAATATACAAAAACATAAGGAAGTTTAGGTTTTCATTTAAAATCAGTGACTGTACAGAAGCTATTTTCAATATGATGTCTTATTAGGAATTATCCCTCTAGACAAAACAGTTAATTGTAGACTCACTGTAACCATGCATATATTTCCTTCGCTTGTGTTCATATTATTTGAAAATGAACTACGAATATAATAAGATCATAGGTAACGTACTCACATGACTGGATGCAATTCATAATAAAATAAGTTTCTCTGTGTTTACTTGTGATTGCTTAATCAGGACATCAAATATTAGTACTGTAACGCCAAATTATAGTAAGGCTCACAAAGCCCTCTAAAAGATGCTGTAGTAACTCAAATGTTCAACCCCTAATAAGTCATATTAAAAAAACTCAATTCAAAATCAGAACGTATGTGTGAAATATGAATAAAATGAACTTGTATATTACCTATGAAGACGGTACATAGCGAGACTAACGTAGACACTAATAAGACATTAGGGCTTATGTCATCATAAAAATTGCTCATCGAATTTACAACATCTCGTTTCTTTTTGTTACCGAATCCAATTTTATTTTTGTCCTTAGTGTGATGTGGGCCGCTTGCATCTTTGATAAATTAGTCCGCTGGTTTCGATAATGCCGTTTCATTTAATTGTTCTTTACGTAGTAAATGTAAGCAAAAATGCGTAATTTTACTGTCCACCACTAAAGTGTGTCCAATAACCACTACATGTATGTATGATCGGGAATATATTTTTCATTAAATGAACCTACCTGTGGGGAAGCAGAAGTCAACACGAGCTGAAATACAAAACAACCATGGAAACAGCGTATACATGCATGAATAGCATTGTATGCTCTACACTTTACAGATAAAGAATTTCTATTAAAAAAACATGTAAATCTGATGCAGTTTACCAAATGATAACTCTCCTATACGTTTACATACATTGTATATTATATTACCAACAAAGTGCTTAAAAAATGCTTTAGTTTTATGATAATTCGAAATATCCTTTTGTATAGCCTTATGTATTGCTAAGTTGTACAAAATAAGACACCAGACCTCCATCATATCTCATATGGTAGTTTATCTTGTCAGTGTTTATATATACATATACAGACATACATACCTTCGGTTACGGTAGTTTATCTTGTCAGTGTTTATATATACATAAACAGTCATACATACCTTCGGTTACGCCATACAAGGTCATCAAAATCATCACTGATAGTAGTTGTATCCCAGTCATTGTAAAACTGTGCTACATGTACAAAAATAGCATAGGTTCATTCATTTGATCTGGATTCAGCTGCTGAGTTGATGCAAATATGCCACAAATTTAGGTACTTTAAACAGTTATCTATGCATGTTAATCAATTACACTGCATACTAGTACTCCGTTCTGACCCCTTAGTGTCTCTGATTTCTCCGTTTTAAATTTAATGTTAATGTGAAGGTAGTCATACCACCTTGTTCAGTTTATGACATTCTCATCAGAGGAGACTTATAGAGCTTCAATCTTTTTATCTAAAGTATAGCAATAAAGAAATGTTTTAATCAACTTTGAACCCTTACACACAAAAATGTGTTGTGTCCCAGCATTACTAACATAATCTCTAAAAGTATTTCAGTCACATAAAGGAGCATAGTTTACCAAGGGTATATAGCAAATATGCAAAGCATAATATAATTGACCTTAAATGCACTTTTACTTAATATCTGTAGTTATAATAGTCTAAGAATGTGTATCTTTGTAACGCCATGTTTGGTTGTTAACAACAAAATTAAAACACAAATTAAAAAGTTTTGCGGTTAACTTATTGACTATCTTTGTGCACAGATTTCCTACGACTATCGCGAGGACGTAGACATCCTTCAATGTAACTTTACATATTCACAATGACCCGATTACTAATCTTATTACCACATGAACCTTGTTCTGTCTTTCAAAAATATTTTTTTAAATGTCAACATGGAATATATAAAATTCATTCATATCGACTTCAAGCAATTTAAAATCCAAGCTTGATGGGGATAAGTGTTGTCCCTACTATTCGCTCGAAACAAATGATGGTCAATCAGACTGAAAAATAAAACGTCGTTGTTCCTGTTTGGTTTGTACAAAAAACTTCGGAATTACTATGTAGTTGTTTTTTTCATCAACTACGGTTCCACTGGTTCTATGGATGTAATATTACTCAGCTATTGATGACATAGTTTGACCACATTATTCAAAATTAAGTTTTTCCGAAAGCTGAACAAATACTAGACTACAGGTACAGCAGAGAATAGATGCAATATATATTTACCGGAAACACCTACCTCTTTTGAGGGCGTCACGACAGTACAGCATATTTTCGGCACAACCAGAAAGATATTGGTTTATTTTGTTTCACATATACCTGAGGACGTATGCACACACTTGTGGTGCACAGCTAATGTACATGTACATGATTTGTATCGATCGGCGGTACGTTGAGCCTATTATTAGGTTTTATTAACACAATGGCGTTTTGTTAACTGTAAGAGGCGTGACGCATATCTTCTTGTCGCATTTTATCAATTCATTGCATCGTGTAATTAGTTTTAAGTTTCAAACTAAAATGCATTCGAAACAACACAGTTCAAATGCACATGAGTAAACTGTTTTTAATAAAATATACTCCTTCTAATAAAACATCTGTTTTTTATAAGTGTATATATAAATACAATAAGATATTTCACACAAGTATAATATTTTAGGCCATAAAGTATTTAGTTAAGATCTTGTATACAAAGGATGAGGCAACATTAATCTGAATGAAGTTGATTGTCATTTTATTATTACTTATTTAATCAAGTACAATATTTTTATCTATTCATTTCTGATATGTGTTGAGGCACTTTCTTATCAGAAATTGTTCGCGCTTTGCTGATATCAATATAAACAGGGGGATGTACCGATGCAGCCTTTGGTATCACAATTGCTATATGATATTAGAGAAAGAAGAGAGAATTGGATAAAATAATCTAAGAAATGGCCATGTGAATAGTTGAAAATGGCTAAGAAGTCATCCCCCAAAATGTGGTTTTATCAGTAGCATATAGGCAATCATAAACTTATCATAAAATGCATTATAATCCACCAATTTGGGAATGGATGTGATAAAAAAGGAACATTTTACAAAATCGGTGTATGGGGCATAATATTTTAGTTATTCGTATCAGGAACAGTCCTGTACTCTTTTACAATCAGTTTCATGGTATACATCATATAATGAGGATTCTTTTATTTGAATGAGTAAGTTAACCATGTCTAACGGACATTTCAATAATAATCGTATCGTATTATATGGGTTTTATTGCTAACTTTTGAGAGTGATTAGTGTTATAGTTATTTGCAACAGTTAAAGTCACAGGGATCTAATATGAATAGCTTGGCATATATAAGTAATGTAAAATAAAAGCATGTTACTTATCATATATACAAATGAAAAATAATTTGTCATAACACTTCCATATCATGCTCATGTATCCAATTTCGATCAAAATCAGTATTGTGTGAAAAAGAAATTATCACAGGACATGCTATACAGTATACTTATAATTAATGATATAGCTATGTTCCAACACCGCCAGTGATGTTTACGTAAACTTTTGTTAAATTTAAGTAACTTTCCTTTCTGTTTTAGCTCATTTGTACGCATTAGTAATTCTTAAGACATTAATTAAGACGTAGTTCTACTTTAAAGCACTAATTAAAAGAGGAAAACTAAATAGTTCTCTTAGTTAAATATACTTGCAAAAGTATCGTTTGTATAGACTTGTAACACTAAACGAATTAAATCAAAAACATGTATGTAATGTCGATCAGTCGACTTAGTCAACAACATATGCTATTGAAGTAGGGATGCTACTATCAGATATGGGAGAGTTCTTGATTGTTAAGTCTGAATTGTCTCACATGTCGTATAGCTTCTAGTTGTAAACTGAGCAGAGATAAACCGCTTTTCGTACATTGTCATGATTTCCAAAGTGAGAATTAAGTGTATATGCGGGTAAAGACCTGTTCATTGCGTCTCTGATCTTTGTGTCAAGTATACTCTCCTTGGTTTGAAGAGGTGTAGTTCGGGGAAAGCTTACCTTTCCAGCAGACTTGGTTTCGTCTTTATGGGGTTTATGTCGTTCCTGTTGGGTAATCTCTTCGGTTCTATGTGTTGTCTTTTAGTCTTTTGATATCACATTTCGTGCTGTTGCTGTTGTGTATATTTTTTCTATTTATTTTCGGTATTCTTGCAGTATGTTATTGACAATTATCCTTGATATGTGTCTCGATTGATTTGATTGCCAATCAACTCTTTGTCCAACATTCTGTCATCAATACACTCTACTTTGTAAGGATGGAAGGATGGTTTGCAATGAATTTGAAAATATCTCTCTGATTAGAAAAAAAAATATCTGCCAGGACATTCCTTTTCTTAAATGTTGGTATTGTTGACATTGTACACATATTTAATTTGTTATGGACAACTATATAACGACAAATAGAGAGGAAAGGAATACCTACTAAGGAATTTGATTGTCGACAATTTCAGTCTAATAAGGTAGCCTTTTCACACTGAAACATACGACCATATCGGCCATGTATCACACGACGAAATAGCATACTTAATAAATGACATTAAATGTCCTCTTTTGAATTTAAATGATTAAAAACGTGAGTGTCATAATTCCTTTTAATGTAAACTGATGAAAAAATTCACATGTATGTATGACAGGAAGGTTTCTAATTTGTGACATCTGCTATACATGTATGCTGACGATTTCATGTCTTCACTCTTTGCACTGGGGTACGCATTGTTCATTGATGGCTTTTGTAGACATATATGTATTGGTTACATCTGGATGTTTGAATTAGATTAGAAGCTTGGAAATGGAAGACAATTATTGTGTTACTACCATACTTCATAGTTTGCTAGTGCTATGATTGTTGTTGTAGTAGTTCTTAAGATCGGAATTATGATGTTAGATATGAAAAAAAACTTGGTTTTACACAAATAGAAAGGACAATGTGTGTCATCTACGATCGCGGGGTTTGAAATATTTTGGTGACAAAACTGATCCCCGAAACATATGTATAGTAAACATTTAAATGTCATACTATTTGCGAAAGATAATAGAACACCATTTAAAACAAGACCAGATCATGAGACAAGCAGCAAAGATATTCACAATTTCCGTTGTTATTGATACACTTACCGCAATTTTCCTATTACTTACCAGTTGAGCGAGTGTGTATCGTGCATTTGGAATCAATTCAACCAGGAAACGTCCCATTAATGGGTAGTCTCTGCGGACACAACCCCGTACAATGGTTAACACATACGGCTCAGTAAACATCCCCCGGTTCTGATTATTTCTGAAGATAATCGCGCCACCTTTGTCCATTTTTATTTTTTTATTTTGTAGTTTATTGTTTTGACAAGCATTGCCGACACTTTGCTTTGTTCTACCCTACATGCTATTTTTGATTTGGAAGGGAGTTATTCCTTTCGCGATGTATACATAGTGTTAATTAACGACGATATCCACGTCTGTTGGTCAAGCACATACCACTAGCCACTGGTAAGTCAGTAACTCAACAGTAGTCAGTTTCTTGTTCTATTTATCATATCGCACGAATTTCTCTCATGTTGCGTTTTTTTCTGATAATTGATTAAGTGAATTGTATATCTCAGTATTGTAATGTGTTTTAGAGCGGCTTATACTTACTAGATTGAGCGTTATCTCAAATGCCGTATCAAAATAGCAATGTAATGAGTAAAATGTCACTCGATGGATTATCTTGATTGATTGGTGACTTCTGCAGATTTGCAACCTCAAATACAATGGACATGGAAAGGAATAGCATTGTATGACAACTAAACTAATTAAGCTATACAAATTGTGTTTCTTTTTTAAGATAAGTAATGCAGATATGAGGATAATTGTAAATTAGTCGTGTCATAATTGTTTCTCCCGTAACAGTACATTTGTTCTCGTTCATATTGGTGGAAAGTTATTTGTTTTCACTTAAAATTGAAAAAAAACCCACTTTGATTTACTAGTTTGTATGTATAACAGTTTTTGATACTGTATAACATTGATGATATTTATCTATTCAATATACAGTGATTAAAATGAGTGAACAGAATATGACAAATGTACCGTTTCTTTTGAGGTTATATCTTCGAAAGCGTCCAACAGTTTTTAAAAAAAACTCAAAAGAAACAAGATATTTCAGAGGAATCTTGGCATCGACTATCGTACGCTCATCATTGGTTCTGTGTACTTTCTATCATTTCTCTTCTTTCAAAATTTATTGTATTGTCAACAGTAAATAATTCTTGTGGTCGACTTTGCATTAACTTCATGTAGTCAGAGTTGACGAGGTATTTTCAAAGATAAACTGTCTTTGACCTACATTTTATTCAAGGTTGCCTTTGGCTTTCTTGTTTTCAGAAAAAAATGTATGTCCAAAGATTCAATGTGCACAACTAGGGACCTTGGGGCCTTCATCTGAAATTTGAATATGATTCTCCAGTACTAAAAAAATGTAACTGTCAATATTAAATTAGGATACCTGTCGGTTTTCTTAGCTATCCATTCTCTACCAAAATTCAATACGCACATAAAGTGACCACGGGAAATAAAATGTGTAGTTTGTAAATGATCCCCCTTGTATGTTGTGAGAATTAGCACTATATTTATACAATGTTTAACCTTTAAACCTATCGGCCATTTTGTCTCCCGATCAGTCATTCACTTCATTATAAGTAATTTGAGAACATTGGAAACAAACATGTTGAGTTTTAGGAAGATCCATCTGGTTCGTATTGAGATCTAGCGCTGACAAGAATTGTTAAAGGACAGACGGACGAACGAACGGACGGCGGACCAAGGACGAAGGGCGATTTCAACAGATCACCATCATCAGTTGATTGGCTAAAAATTAAATCAACTATGTTTGAATATGAAAGTAGTAATTTTTATTTTCACTGCACACTTTTTAAAGAAATCCACCGTTAAATTTACTGAAAATGAACAATTAATGTTAACTGATAATTAAGGTTAAAATGTATGAGTTAAAATCATGTATATTTATCAATCCCGTATGATACAATCAAAACAAAATAAAGTATATCAATCTTATACAAAAAATAGCAGTACACAGAGCAGAATGATCCCGATACCGATTCAACTATTTAGATCATGGTTTGTAAAGATCCATAGCACATCTTCAATACCTATCTTTTAATATCTTTCTTTAATACCTGTTGTCTTTGGAAATATAGAGATTCGAAATTGAAATAATGATTGTTTCATACACCTAGTCTTTATCTGAAAAGAAGTTAATCATATAAAAATGTAATTCATATAAACATGAAATAAAATAATATTGATAAAATGTATATATAACAGTCAAAAGGGTGGTTTACATAGACTTAATCCATCCCGTCAACGTTTTCAAGTTTGAACTTTTATCCTTTGATCATGATCGATGACCTCCATAATTCAATAAAATGTAAAATACACAACTACTCTGATAAATGGTTCGCTTGATATTGTCACACATATGTATGCCAAGATTTGTAAAGTATGACCTCCGAACCCTTAACCTTGACCGATGACAATCAATTTTTATTCCAAAGTAAAACTCGGTATAATTATAAAATGATGCAAATACTACAAAAAATGTGGAGGGTTTCAGAAGATACAATGAGCATACGAAAACAAACCCATTACCACTACAATATGTTTCAGCGAATGAACAAACAAGTTCATTGGTTGTCAAAGGGTATAGCAATTTATTTACATAGTTGGTACGAATGCAGTGCGTAATAAAACGTGAAGATCATACCGTTATATACAGGGTATTACAGGTATATATAATTAAAACGCCGTTCAAAGGAAACATCATAATTACGTTATTTTTGCATTGCATAGAAATTTGCAATTATTATCAAAATCATAATACGTACATTTTGACACTAAATGCATAAATGTAGGAATTAAGTTTTTCGTCTATCAAACAACAACTCAATAGAAATTTAACAATATCTTTGAAAACGCACATACATGTAAAAAGCACATAATGTTCCAAATTATTTTATGATTAATATAAACGAAAAATGATATTTGTAACTTATAACAAGAATTTAAGTATGCAAATGTCGGAAGTATATAATGTCAACATCAAAACGTAACAAGATATATGTAAGCGTAGTTTCTAACACCTATAACGAAACGCTATGGGTAAGTCACAAAATGCGGCACTCGAAATATATTTGTTTGAATATAATATAGACAAAATGAACGGTGAAAGAAAATCGTACATCTATTTGTAAAGATTTAAATCATCCAACCAAACAGTACAGAAAGAATACAAACATCCCTCACACATCCTATTGAGTTATATAATTATGATATATGTACATATCACTATATCACTTCAAGTGTTGTTTATTCACAAAAATAGGATTGCACCAATGACCTGGATTGACTTTGGATAGTTCTAACAATTCATTGATTTAAAGGATAAAGTCATTGAGTCTATTTTGATTTGCTTTTTGATTTGTTGTTCTTTTTTAATTTTTTCTTAGCTCTTGCACCCTCTCTCTCCTTACTCACAGATGCAAATGCTCCACTCGGGGTTTCGGGTGTTACCTTCTTTCTTCTTTTTTTTCTTTTCCGTCGTTTTCGTTTTCCGGTTGCTTCTGAAGTATTTGGTTGGGAAACTGTTTTCGTCGATTCCATGTTTCTCACTATGGTTTCTCCTCCGCCAGGTATTTCACAGGCATCGACATCTATATCGCTGTTCTCTATGACAGTAATCTCGTCCCATTCTTGGCTTTGTTGTATTGGCCTGCTCTCTGCTGTGCTGCTACGGGAAACCATGGCACTCTTTGTTAATGTTTCTTTGGATATTCCGTCGGCTTTCACAGTTACCACTTCTTCATTCTCAGGTTGCGTCTCATCTTCATCTCCGAATGGTCGTGCATGTTTTTGTTTGTTTTCTTCTGTTTCTATTCTTGCAGGTGTCATCACATATGGCTCACACCTTCCATCAATCGTATTATCGACGACATTTTCCGGTTCATGGGATGTAAGTTTCTTTTTCTTCTTTCGTCGTTTTCTTCTTTCCCTTTTTTTAACATTTGTGTCGAGATATGTATCGTGTGATGAATCAGCTTTCCCGGTCAGTTCGTTACGACTCGTGTCAGTTGTTCTCCCGGTTACAAATACAATATTTCCCCCCCCTTCATCGGTCTTCAGTTTTTCATTGTTGGATGCATTTACAATAAAAAAGTCACCTGCTCGCGTGTTATGCATCTCATCCTCAGCCTTGTCTTTTGCAAAACATTCTTCAAACATAACATATCTTGCAGTGACAATTGAATTGTCCGCTTCATTGTTAACATGCTCTTCTGTCTTTAGTTTCTTGTCGATTTGGACGTTTTCTTCCTTCTGTTGAAAATTCCACGTGCAAGTTTGCTCTGTTAAACTTTTCTGGCCTCGTTTCTTTTTCTCCGTTTTGTCTTTTCTGAAGTTTTCAACTCCCGGTTGATGAGAGGTACAAAAGACGTTGTCAGAATCTGATTTTGCACTTCGATCATGTTGAACTCTCATCCAGCTATTTGATTTGGATCGTTTTGTTTTGTTTACAGCTTCTGTTTGGATTCCATCTTGTAGAATATCTTTACTTGGCCAGGCTATAGAAAATATTTCTTTCTCTTCATCATGGGGATCAGCAAGCGAAATGTCATTTATCATTTGATTGCTGAAAATATAATTTGAAAGGATTATGAATGTATATTACAAAACTCACCAATAACACATATGATTATACTAAAATATGTTATTGTTTTTCTACATGTTGCGATGTACTAATAACTCAAGATAACATGTATCAGTACATCATCGTTTCAATGCTTTGTGCGGAAGCCGTTTATTATAGGACATCGTTTAATGTTCCCAATGTATACGACTATTGTGCGATTCAAATGATATATTTAAACCCGTTTTTGCACAAACTTCAAAGTTTTTTCTGTGTATTTTTGTTTATTATTCTCAAGAAATTTGTCCTTTGTGTCCTGCTTCAGGTCATGTTATCAATCTCAATAATAATAATGCCCTTCATTACTACGACGATTATTCTAAACGTCATTATTGTAGACACTGTGATTCATAACAAAACCTGTGATAACTACAATGCATTACTCCTTCAATGAGCAAGCAAAAATACTTACTACACGCCGTTAGATGCTCTAAGTCTACAATTATTGATCTCTCTTATGGCCTTAAAAAATAAGGAGGAGACATAGCTAAACAAAGTTGATTGCTCTTTGCCACAGGTGAAAACCCGTATCTCTTGGCATCATGGATTGTTTTGAAAACCATAAACTGACAGAAACTGTATGTCGCAAGAAAATTAATATATATTTATAAAATGATGTAAAATACATTATATATTTATCCGATGCACCCTCCTTTATCGTTGATCTCAGAATATTTTATTACTCCAAACTGAAGAGGAACAATATGTATGAATCGGACATGTTGTTCCATTTTGATCAAAGAAGTCTTTTTCCTGAATAATATTTGCCACCTATCCGACACCAACACCTGCACATGGTATCATAATCCCCTTAATTACATCATCATCATCATCTAGCCTTTAAACAGCATCCTTATTATCATCCCCGAAATTGTTTTATTCTTATTGTATTCAGACACATTTATCAAGAAGATGATTTTGTAAGTATCCTTGAAAACTGACAATGTATCACGGAATTGTCGATTTGTTCTACATGCAGTTACCTTTTTTGTTTACTTTTGCAAAAACACAACATCACGCCAATAATCAGACAAACAAAGCCGAGTCCGGCAACAACAGTGACGACAGGAACAATGATGTATTCTAGTGTAGTATCTGGGTCACGCGTGTTTTGGTCGCTTACAACACAGTCTGCAAATAATAAACAAGTCAATACAATGCTATGTATATCGTATATGTTTGCGTTATATTGACTTTACAAACTTTCAACATTCATAAGTTTTCCTTTCACTTCTATGTTTGCAAATGATCTTTCGAATACTTAAAGAAAGAAGTTAGTTTTTTATCCTGATTATAATAATATATATTAAAATCAACGTTTACAAAATCGAGTACAGGAGATTTGGGAAACATCAATGTGAGTCAATTCAGTCACGTACCTTCGCTTGATGAGTTAGACCACGTGTACACGCTCTCCTCGGGTTTACATTCTAAACATAACGCATTCTCTTTATAGGATCCTTTAGGATGACAGGCTCTATTAATGTAACAAAACCCTTCCTACAAAAAAATAACAGTGTCTTTAAGTACGAAAAATGCACGAAACTTGTACATTGTAATTCACCAAAATGTGATAGTTTATGTTGTTTACATTCTTGTCATCTAGAAACAGCAACAAAATTGATCAAATAACAAAAAATAGATTTGGAACGGTAACAATGAGCTTTATTTACATACTGGTCGGATTTTAAAATTATGTGTTATTGCTGTAGATATCACACGTATAACCCCATACAAGTGGTTTTTTTATCCCTTAACATTATCTGGTAGTTCAACCTCGATCAGGTGTAATTAACCTCATACAAGTAACCAGATATATCCCTTTACATTATCCAGTAATTCAACCTTGGTCAGCTGTAACTAACATCATTCATGTACATGTAATCAGATATATCTCTTTACATTATCCAGTAATTCAACCTTTGTCAGCTGTAACTAAACTCGCACAAATAATAGGGCAGACTTTTTTAATATTTCGTACTTCAACCTAAATCATATTTTACGAACATCATACAAATAAAAAAACAAATATTCCTTTCCAATATCCTGTACTTCAATCTTGATAAGCTGTTACTAACCTGTATATAAAACCTAATAACTCCAGAGTCGTTGATGAAATATTGACATGCTGCATTGATAACGACGAAATTGATGACGTCACCAAAATCAAATCCGTCCATAGCCACCGACACATTGTACTCGATTCCGAGTCTGTCTGTCGGGACGTGTATCTCTGGAAGGTCACAGATAATTTCAAAGAGGCTCTGGTGTTGAGCTGATACATTTGCCGTCTCCAATGTATGGTACATCTCACCCACCAATGTCTGTGAGAGATAAACAAGCAATTATATGAATATCACGAACGTCTAAACAAATAAAAAAACGAAACTTAACGAAAATAACTTTTCGTCATATTTCTGTTTTACCAAATCCATTAGGTTTGCATCAAACAAAATGTACTCACCATGTCAGAGAAGTGATCACATTTATTCGTATACGGTACCATACATTCGCGCAGCAGTAGCTTCTCACGCTGGTTTAACATGTGAACATTTTACAAAACGGTCTTATTTCTGCCTGGCATTCATATTGACGATTCAGACAAAATTTTGTTCAAAAATTGTAACCGACACATTAGTTCTATGTTTAAAATATCTTTTTTTATCACATAATGTACTCTGTTTTCCTGTGAATATACCATGTCATATATTTTTTTGAGTATTAACCCATGAAATATGACCTTACATGTGATTGGTTGTAAGTTTCAATTGTTTCAAATGTAGTTAAAATGGCGGCTTTTTACATTTCAAGGAGACGTGAGAATTGGAGTTTTTTACGACTAATTTCCGACAAATTTGATATTGTGATTAAAAAGATATTACACTCGTTTTCAATTCAGAGCCAGAAGCTCTCTTAACTGAAAAAAAATACTTAGATTCGTTTCATAAATCTAATATGATCCTATATATATTAATTTCTGACAGGAAAGGGAAAGCGCATGACAAGAAAACCACAAGGGCCCAGCTTATCGTACAATTAAGACGTACTTACATTAGTAGTGTTATTGATAATGTCGTATTGTGGAATTGTCTTCTGATGTTCAGTTAGGTTGGTATTAATTTTGCCGAATGCGGTACGACATTAACAATGCTATTTAAAAGACGTGGAGATAAATGAGTAGGTACTAACCTCACGACCACTGAATTGGCAAGTGTAGTTTTGATCCGTAGGGAAGTCCAGTCCCTCTACCACTACGAAGGTACACTCGTCGTCGATATCACAAAGTCCTTCATTGTCTAGTCCGTATAACACTAAAGGTGCGTTGAGGTCAAAGGAACAATCCTCCGAGGCGAATCCTTCTTCACATTCACATTTACCTGCGTGTGAATTATACACGTATTGCTTTATAGATGTTAATTTATAGTGTCACTCACTGATGGTTTCTCAGAATGTTCCCTACTGCTATATACGTCATCACTTTAAAATACACAACCTACTTAACAAAATATGCGAGCAAAAAGAATTTCTGCAATTTGTTTTTTCGAGAAAAAGAATTTACTACTTTGATAATATAATAAGAATGATAGAAATTTTTCGACACTTGTGCACATTTATGTTATCAACTGTTTCGCGGTTGCCAATTTATAAACAAACATCAATCAATCATAAATCTTGTCAAAAGTGAATGTTGATTGAGGCATCATACCATTAGAGCAGGATCCCCGTTCGGAACAATTGTTTGAACAGGTGTTGTTTCTAATAATGTTACTTATTTCTGGATATTCCTCTTGTAGAGTCGTGTTTTTTTCTAGGGTTTCAAGGCAGTGTGTTTCACTTCGATCCACGGCGTAGCGTGTCCAGTTGCCATCGCCAGTAAGCTGTTCAAGAAAATGGGTATTGCTTTTCGTCATTTAATGTTATATTTATCTTTGTTATACATGTGTTTTTATCACGAAGACTTTATATTTGATATATAATGTATATCATTCGAAAAGAAGAAGTAAATAATTTCTCTTTCTGACAAATGCAAATATAAGTGCATCTGATGTGAAAAATGTAATGATGATCTGCAGGCATAAGCAGTGGTGTCAACTGGTATTTATTACAACGGTGTATACATAATCGCAGCTTTATTTTATTCTTACATAATAAACCTATTTAGGGGATAAGTTGTCACTTCATACAAGATTCATGAAACGTTTTAAAGTGTTATGTTTAGCAAGGCACAACCTTCCTAAAAACAGACTGTTTTCATATAGATGCATCTCATATGGAAGAATTCAAACAAGTTCAATATCGATTTTGACAAATGACCAAGACTAGATTTATTATAAGCTAAAAACATGATTTATCAAATATATTAGGTCAACATTTCGATTCCATGTCAATGGTCTTCAATGCTGTCCTTTTTTAATAGATACAGTGTGCTAAAAATGAATTACATCATACAACTGTTTTAAACTTCTAGGACACATCGGTGATGCTTAGAGACGAAATCGTTTGGGATCAATGGTATAAAATGATGTTACAATAGATGAGGTTGTGTATACGAAAATGTTGTATATCGTCAACTTTAACAGTAAATAATTTAACATCAGATCAGACAACAACTTTCATAGGGATGACTTCATTTTATATAACGACAGACCCACGATACAATGACAAATACAAGTTTTACTTATTCACATATAAAACAATACCATCAGATCCGCAGCGCAGTTGTCTATTTCAGTACTTGAGGCGTTGACACCAATATCAGAACAGGCTTCATTTGTTACGGTTGTTAGCGCATCCGTGCACAACTGGATAGCTTCACTTTCATTTATCACTACTGACTGCAAATATATTTCAGATGTCATTTAGTTAGATATACAGTTCTAGGATCGCACAACGTTACACCATGTACTGTGTGTGCACTGTGAGAGAACGATACGTGTACGGTATGCGTACGATACAAGTATGTAGATTACAGCTTGCATACATCGTCGTGCACGAACACCAAACGTTGAGCGATAACATTCGTGGTTGGTGTAAATTGAGGAAAGGTTTATAGTACGCATATATGATCAGTATCGTGGTTGATATACCATAAGGAATGTCTTGTGAGTATATAGATTTCAGGACAGACAACGCTTCGGTCACTCATCAACACGTTATTTACCGGAGTCATGTCCCATTATGGACAGTTTTACGATCACTGTAAATACACATTATTATAATGGGAAGAATTTAAAACATACTGACCTCAAACGAAAATGAGATATCCTTAACGTACCTATTTCATACGAGTCTGCCAAATGCTTTTTATTACGTTTAATTGGGCAACCAGTTTAACATGTACCGAATAGCAGATTTGTTCGGTAAAAAACCACACAAAAGGGCAATCGATTGTTGATTCGGGTTTTTGCGCACCATGTTCGTACGATGTGAGCACGATGTTTCCACGAAGTGCGTTCGATATGTTTGGTGAGCTGTGCGTTTACACAGCGGTAATAGCAGGAATCATCGTTCATACCAGTTTATGAGTTCGACAATCATGAACTAAATGTCACGTGGACTTTGTACCGTCCACGCGTACAGCTATACCAATACAGATTCTAAGTACCATCGAGAATTATCCTGCATAGACTTACGCGTTTCGTAATGTTGTGAAGATAAACGTCGTCCGGACTGTCTGCTTGACGTTTTTTTCTGAGGACTCTGCGGTCAGTCACAGTGCATCTTACTTCTTGCCTGGAATCAGTACAGCTGGCGTATTGTCTTGAGGAGCAAAGAGTGGACTCTATATAGCTATCTACCGGAGTCTCGTCTCCAAGTTCAATACTGTTCTGTGGACAAACGCACATTTGGTAGGGCGCAGGATATGGCTCCAGGAAGTCGGTGTTTGGTTTCACGTTAAGCAGATTATCTTCTTCACTGAGCCTGTAGTGTTTTTCATATTAATTACAAATGGAGGATTGGTATGGTAAAATACTAATCCAATAGCAAGTATTATGTAAAATATTCTCAGAACCTTTTGATACCTTACAAAAAAGAAGAGTTTAGAAGCATGCAGACTATTTGTCATCGCTGTTATGATCTGTGCAATTGCATAAAACGGCTATAATTAATCATTTCATCCTATAACATTTGATAGTCTGTGTGTTTAAGAGACAACTTACAGGACGACATATACATGTAGTACGACTGCAATATACAATCATTAGTCTAATATTATCAGATCACCCCGATACTCTTAGAAAATCAAATGCGTTCACGAATGTTAACATTGTCGTAATCAGATGTATACCAGCGATAATTATATGTAACGAAACTAAAGACTTTGTTTTAAAAGCACGTATGATTACTTACCTGTAAGACCGAGTAAAGATGTTCGGGTGATAGTAGTAAGACCACCTGCTATTTGATATGTCTCTACACGGCATTGAACCTCCTTTACTGACACAGTCGTTCGCCACGTTTCCGTCCAGATCGCCACAGAGACCGGTTATTCGTCCCTTGTACTCATGGACTGTTGGTGTTATATCGATATCTAAGAGGCCTCTCGTTCTAACTGACACCCGGATGGTCGCTCCAGTGGGTAAATATATCTGTTTAAAAATGTTCAAAAAGAATAATGGTACTTATATTTCTTTACAGAATATGGTATTATATTTTTATAACTGTTCATCTTTATCAAGGATCATCTTTTGTAACGTAACGGCCAAACAAATAGTACTTTCGCAAATACTTTTCGTATTGAACAATGTAAGCACATTTTGCTTATACCATGAGGTCAATATACTCGCAAGTTTGAATGCAAACGACTTACACATAAATCAGCGGTCATGTCTTGCTTTCATTTAGCAATTATACAATGAGTAATATGGCTTCTCTAGTGACAAATCGTGGCCATCTTGCAAAATGTCATTCTTTATAATCACATATTTATTTTTATTTTGCTATGCTTGTACATGTATTCTTCTTTTGAATGGATAAAAGTTGTCGTGGTATAACCTTAAACGATATTTATTTGACATATTTTGAGTTGACTCAATGCTATTTATTTCAATTGATTATCAATTCGGTTTGGTTTGTTTGTCTTTTACGTCCCATTAACAGCTATGGTCATTTAAGGACGTGCAAGTTTTTGGTGGTGGAGGAAAGCCGGAGAAAAGCCACCGACCTACGGCCAGTACCTGGCGACTACCCCACGTGGGCCCCGAACCCGCGACCCAGTGGTGGAGGGCTAGTGGTAGCAGAATGTCAGACGCCTTAACCACGTGGCAACCGCGACCCCAATTGATTATCAAGCACAAGTAGTAATATATGTCCGGATGGATGACTTTATTTTGACATTTCTTTTCACGCCACGACGTCATTGTTTATCCTTATCTTAACTTTATCCGCGAAAACAGTTCGGTGGTAATTATCACATAAGGATGCTGAACATAGAACTGATCATACATATTACAAAAAAACAAATTATGATCAAATTAAGAAGGAAACATACATCTGGGATATATGTCAAAATTACCAGTTCCCCATTGTAAACAGAACTGTTTTACAACCTTTAAAATGAATGACCAATTTAGCAACAAGTTGATTATCCCAAAAAATCAATGCTAAAAATGTACCTGTTTGACGTTAGGTATATCACTAAAAGTGTCATTGCATCCACATATTTATTTGTTGCAAAACCTTTTTTGCTGTGCGTGTTTTAAATGTTCAATATTATTAAAATAAATTGCATCAAAGAAGAATATTATTTAATATTAGCGTTTTATTTTACTGAAGCACGCTGACCCCATTTTGGCTGTTTTATGAAAAGATATACATTTCGTTTGATGAATGAAATATAAAGAAAAGTTCAATTAAAAAACGTATTTAGGTTGAATGACACACATTACTGATAACACACTTAGAACACATTGTATAAGTTTGTTCTGCATACGGTTAAAAAAGGAAATCATCAGAAACCCCATATTATGTTAAACTTGTATCATAATCTGTTCATATCACACAAAGGAACACACGAACACTTTAATTTCTTTTTGCATTTACTAGTATGCATTAACTACTTTTTCCAGACATAAATATAAAAAAAGTAAAAGCTTAGTTCAGGAATTTCTAACTACTCAGAGGAATAAACCCTCGTATGACATTCGCTGTAAATTGGGGATTAAATAACATATAAACAAACCGATCCCCACAAGTCTTATGCGTTTGTGTAAAGCGTTTGCTTAAGTAAGAAATTTTAACAATCCCCATCCGGTCTTCATATGCAAATGAGAATTTTGCGGACGGTATATCGAGGTTGATATACTGTCGTAAATTATTTTAATTGACCTATCAAATGTCGCGTTACATCTCAAATGAAGTAGAATGTCCTTTATATTGGTACTTGCTGCTTGACGCTGAAATTAAAGTAGGTAGCGTTACCTATTGTCAGTATACTGTGACTGGTTACAATGGTGTGCTCGGTTCCTACATCATGGTATTTCATTGAGGTAGTCCCCTGAAATCGGCATCAGATCTACACTATTTTTAGGGAGAAAACACATCAACATACTGTCTCCAACACACTTCACGTAAACATTATGCATAAGGAGACACGAGCTTAAATTGCCTTAAATATAAATATGAGGCTTACCCTAAAGAATAAGATAATTTATAGGGTTAGCATTTTTCTTTCTTATGCCATTCTTTCTACAAACATGACTTACTTTATATATCTTCGATGATTTTCTGTCCACCTTCAGAACACCATCCTTACATGATTTGTAGTTGATGTCTCTGTGACCATTGCACGTATAAATTTGAAAAACATCTTTTCCAGCAACCGCTACAAGTCCGCATGCACAGTATGGGGTACGATTGTTGCCATTGCAAGACGTTATCTGCACCTGTACCTGGTAATGTAAAACACTTATTCTGAGACGTTTTGTAATCAGAAGCTTATTTTGTTTTCATAAATCAGATCTGTATTGTAATAAAGATCGATGTGGGAAAGTATCAGCTATTTTTAGTTTTACCTGCATCGGTGGATTTTCACTCTTCAATAACATGAACTTTCCTTGGTATTGCAATTCATAAGCCCTAGAACAGAAAAGGTATAGGAAAACGTCAGCGTTGACTCTAAGAGGCTATAATCAGAATCCATAAAAATCACAGGCCGGTTTCCCTTGATATGTAAAGATGACTTTTCCATACATAACAATATTCACGGAAAATAACGTTATAAGCATTATCAAACTGGATAATTAAAACAACTTATCTTGAATCTGATTTTACTGCAACCTAGTTTACTGCATGCTTACATTATATTTTTCCGAGAATATTCTATGAATTATAAAGATACTGTTTGTGGAACAATTCCAGTTCCGTTTTATCACATGTACTAATAGCTTCATAACTGGATAGCAATTAATTCTAGAGTTACACTGTTTCCTGTAATACTTACATGCCATCGAATGACTTCATATGGGGATCACAGTACACCTGACAGCGTTTTCCTTGCCAGAACTTGCCGTCTGCCGCATCGAACACGTTCACCTATCATATAAAAAAATGACTTTTATCTGTTAACTGCTTAAAGGCAGCATTTGAATTTGAAGATATGAAATCCAGAAAATATTGCTCAGTGGTCGATAGGGATCAACCCGGTGAATACGAAAAAACAACAAATATTAAGTTGACTACTCACGTTAACTTGATCTGATATAGCGTTTCTCCAGAATTGGTGACGAGGTCTCTGTGTTTGAAGCTTGAATACGAACTGGTTATTTAAAAGGCTGTAGGTTCCAAGTTTACTGTCAACTGGTACGATGTCGAACTCGTACAACGTTGGTATCCAGGTATCGCTGCCAACATTGGCTGTCTTTGTAACACCTGTTAACTCCTTGGCGCATTTATTATGGTGGCGAATCGTGTTACTAGTACACATATTTTCTGATGACGTCTTGAGTATATAAACTGTAAGTGTACAGCCTCGCTCTCCATTAGACGGATGGTACATACAGCCAAAGGGGACTGTTTGTTGGAAGTACACAGAACCGCCTTTACCTCGCTCAACAGACACCGAGTGGTTCATCATCTGTACACAAAAATACAAAAGCAATAATGAGATATACAAACTGAGGATTGAGAGGATTGACTTTCTAGGTAATGTGTTCATTCAGTAATGCTTTAACTTTTCATACATGTATATATTTCTGTAGGAGGAGGATAGGGGTGATATCATTGTACTTTGTATATTTGATTTGCTACTAACCATTCGAGTAAAATTAAATAAAGAGTTATATGCTTGCAATAATGATCAGTTTCGTCAGGTAAAATAAAAACAACAAAACTCAGTGTAAGTACATTATGACGCAATATATAGCTCGGGGTAGGTGGTGGTCGAGGATCCACATGAACCGAGCAGACATATAATCAAACGTATTGACAAATCAAACAAGCAACTCGCTGAATCGAATGTAATAAATATCAAACATAGTAAAAACAAATTAACAAGTTCTTTATTCACCGTATTCAGATTTAAAAAAATGACTCTCCCATACAAGCCTACCATAATTCCAGCATAGAATCCCGCGCTTATCACAAGAGTTCCAGTGCGTCCGTTTCTAGATGATCTCACTCCAACACTACATGAAATCTGCAATAAAAGAGAGGTGTGATAATTTCGTGTCCACTACAAAATATTGTTTAATATTGCATAAAAGAAATGAGAAATTAATGTTTACTTACAGTAGGAAATGTAAATCAATTACATTATTTAGAACAATATATCAATATAATTAGTAACCGAGGACACGAAACACAAAGGTATCATTACAAAAATGATGTTTATCTCAATAATACGAATGTGTATGAAAAGGTCGTAAGTTGCACTGGATGGCTATCAATCACTTTAACTGATTTATTTACACAAGTTAAATATATGTATAAAACGCCAATTATATGTAAACGTTGCATATGATACAAGAAAGTCTTTCACAAATCTTTACCGTAATTCCGGCAGTAAAGCCAAACATTGTAAAGAGTTGTTCCTCTGTCACATACGCTTCTGCCACTTCCTGGACGACCAGGTCAGCTCCTAGATTGACGTAACTTCCGTCGACGTGGAAGTAGATAACGTAGTATAAGAGATTGGTTTCGTCTTTGTCAAAATCACAGAAGAAGCGAAGGGAAGGCTTTTCAGCTCTGTTTTCGTTCGGTACATCAACCCAATGCAGTTCGTACTTGATTTTGACAGTTGTTGGTAGATAGGATGGGGGAGGCTCTAATAGAATAAGATCAAATATTTTAGTTCACTCACATATGTGTCTGCAAGATTTCCAGTATTCGCATAACTATGTATGTAGGACCAGAGCAGAATGCAATGCATTAAAGAAAACAAAATGAAAGAAAGATGAGTTTTGATTCAAATCTGATTTACTACACATTTTCTGTGATAAAGTATTGACAGATGAACAAAGGTAATACATACCATTAGAATCTGATGGGATATCTGGAAAAAATAAGACATCATTATTACTCCGTAATATGAAACATATTTCCGAACATATAGAGAATTAATTTCTCACAATGTCATCAGTTCAAAAGAGATCGAATACTCTTCATAGATATTTAATCAACGACAACTTGATTACAACACAAAACATCCGAAATGAGCGTTAGTAAAATGAAAACCTGCAAGATAAAGAAGTAAAAGGTCATATTTGTCTGTATGACTGGACTTGAATCTAAAAAATAGAATTGTCAGAAGGCAAAGGGAAGAAACAAAAAACAGGCAAGAGATGCATTGAATAAAACAAATCCATTTTCGTTTAAACGTTTGCCATTACAAGTGATTCAAACGTGTTGTAAGTGAAAATCTATCTACCAATGCCACGGTATAATTAATTTTTTAAGTTTTTTATTGACTGATTCGTGATTCCTTATTTGTTTTGGGAAACGACGTCTACATCACAACATTGTGATATAATTATAATAACAATGACAAGATTTCCCGACTACAAGATGATGACATTATCAATAATTTTAAACTACAATATGGTAATATAAACCTGATAGGTAAAATTAATATAGTTTTTAGTACCTAGGATATACCAGAGTTTCACCTATCTTTCGGAAGTTTCACTTCTTTTCTAAGAAAGTATAAAAAATGTAAAAAAATGATAGTAAAGTTGACAGGTGTCCTATCTATTAATTGACATGTGTCCTTTCAATTAATTGACATGTGTCCTATCTATTAATTGACATGTGTCCTATCTGTTAAGAAGAGTCTTCGAATTCGAATGTAGAATTCAAATAACTGAAATAATATTGCTAAAATGTTTTGAAATTATCACCTAAAATCGTATTGAGCCATCGTATTACCAATAACGTTTTGCCAAACAATTATTCTAAGGATTTGATAAGTTAACGTTGAGTTTTCAAAGTGCATTTAATTTGAATAACAGTACCATTCAAAAGCGTTCTACTTTTCCGCGTATGATACTGAAGTCTTTACGATTGAGGTGTTTTGTAAGCCCCGAGACTTTTCGTTCGACAGTTTGTCCATACATAACGCAAGCTGCATACAAGTACAAAGTCAATTTACCTTCAGAATCGACATCGATTTAATGTTCCCCCAAAGTTATCTTGCTTGTTTATAAAACAAGATATTTGAGGGTAAACTTTCGTTAAAAAAAACAATGAAAGTGATATAATTGTTATGCTTCCTTATGTTAATTCCTTGAATTACTCGACCACAGAATCGCTTACGCCTGGCAATAAGTACAGAATACACATGTGCGTGCCGAAGAATTGATAAAAAAAATCAACGACCAGGATAAACTTTGAATTTCTTATAGAAAGGTTCTCTACAATTTCAGCAATCAACTAAAAATAACTTATTGTGTTCTTTTAGGTCCGGTACTTTAAGACGTATCATCCAAATACTATATTCCAGGTAAATGATAATAGAATTATTAGAGGAGGATGAAGATATTTTAGATAGACATCGCGGTAGTGAAGTTGCATATCGAAATTAATTATCACAATGTTTTTATGGCAAAACATTCAGGCATTGATAATATGTAACCTGAATACGAGGATATTATGAAAAGTTTGACCCGGTACAACATGTGACTTATTATCTATACCGAAAATCATGCGTATCACAAACTACTCACCGAAGCAATACGCGCTGTTCTCAGCAGGTGTAGTAAGGTAGTACATGATGTGTGTCGTACAGTTTTTGACGTACGTATACTGTGTGTCAACAAAACAAGTGTCTCCAGTTGTCCGGTTAGTGGTGCATAACTGTCTCACATGGTGCATGCCGTCAGCAGCAGGAAATGTTCCTATGAAAGATAACTTTATATATTAGAGGTCAAGCTAAGGCCGAATGACAGGTGCGTACAGATATGATTCGCTACTCAAGGGTCATTGCATTCTACCATCTCAATATAATTTTACAGTTTGGGCATAGGAAAAGCAGGCATATTCTTTAGATGACAGCGGATGTCACGTAACCTTCATCTTCAAAAGTTATTTATTTGCAATTTATTATTCTATGAACACATTAAATCCAAGGTCTTTAAAAGATGCTAGGTTCTCTTTTAAATTATGCTTATAAATGAGATTTAACAGAGAATACTGATAAGACTAAAGTGATTGTTTTTAGAAATGATGGTCAATTGAATGACAATGAATACTGGACATATAATGGGGTCCATTTAGTCATTGTAGATGAGTTTAATTACCTTGGCGTTTTTTGAATTATAACAGAAAGTTTCGTAAAACGCGACAAAAAGTAGCAGAACAAGGTCGTAAAGCATTATTTGCTGTTATAAAAGTGTGTCAAAAACATTATTTAAATTTTGAAACAATATTGTCGGTATTCGATACGTAATGTCGCTAGCATTAAAAACTATGGGTCTGAAATATAGGGAAGTCCTAAGGCAGCAGATATAGAAAAGTTACATTTAAGTTTATGTAAAAATCTACTTGGTAATTCAGATAATTGTATACTTCAGGCATGTTATGAAGAAATGTCTGACTGTGAAGAACATTGGCTTATGAATATATAAAAAAAATGTTTAGGATTGGATTAAGCTATTTTGTGGAAGTAAAAGACATACAAGATGAATCACGGATTTTTTCAAACAGGGACGTTTCATAAAAAAAAACAGTTCTTCTAAATGTAATCTATACAAATATCTCTGTGATGAGTTTGGTTTATAAAGTTACTTAAAAAATCTATTGATATTCAACACTTGAAGGAGTAAGTAAGGATTAGAACATTTTCTCATAAACTTAACGTAGAAATTGGTAGATACCAAGGTATTGAACACAGAAACAGGGTTTGTTCGTTATGTGCCTCTAATGATGTAGAAGACGAATATCATTTTGTTCTTAAATGTCCATTTTATTCCGGTTTACACAATTCATTTATTAAACCTTTCTATATCAGACATACAAGTATGCATACATTAAGTTGTTATCCACAGAAAATAGGAAATACATAACTAATTTGACCAACTATGTAAGAATCGCTAGTAGAAGACGACAAAATGTACTAAATTCAGTCAATTGTATCTAGTGTTTGTCAGTTATAAACTAGCGGAAAAAAGAAACTGTGCATGCCTAAAATGTGTTATAAAAATAAATGTGTATCACGTAGCACAACAAGGTTTTCAGAGACAATATATTTGTTATTTATTAACAGTTGCATTCCATTAGCCACGTTATGGAATCAATAAGTTCCCCTCAGGAGTAACGTAAACACAGCAGGGGTCAATACTGAGTTCACAAAGTTAATACCTCGTATGTCCACCGTTTGCCTGAATGCAAGCCTGGCAACGTCGATGCATGGAGCCTATCAGACGGTTCAAGAATGCTTGTGGGATGGCATTCCCGATCTGTACCAAGGCTGCAGCCAAAGCAACCAACGTCACCGGTTTATTAGGTAATGCCCGTAATCTGCGCTTCTTTTCATCCCAGACGTGTTCAATGGGCGACAGATCGGGGGATACAGCAGGCCAGGGCAACACGTCAACGTTCTGCTGGGCCAGAAAGTCCGTAGCGACACGAGCTGTTTGTGGCCTGGCGTTGTACTGCTGTAGCGTAAAGTGACGTTGCTGCCCTTGTACGAATGGAACGACGTTGGTTCGGAGGATCTCGTCACGGTAACGTAGCGCGTTCAAATTCCCGTTAACAACCTACAGAGGCGTTCTCCCGTTGGCTGTGAGGCCGCCCCAAATCACAACGCTGCCTCCGCCGAAAGAACGTCGTTGTACCACACACGCGCCACGAAAACGTACTCCAACGACGATACACTCTAGAACGGCCGTCACTATTATCCAGATGGACTCGCGACTCGTCCGTAAACAAAATGCCTGCCCAATCCCGTCGAGAAAATCGCAGATGCCTTCTGCACCAGTCCAGACGTGCTACACGATGACGTGGATTGCAGGACGTCGCGGACGGATAGCTCGTTCACACAATCGGTTTCGTACAGTTCGCGGGCTTATTGGTAGCAACCCAGGGATTGTCTGTGCAGTCAAACTTGCCGTTTGGAAGCGATTTCTCAAATGGACAAGCCGAATATGGTTTTCCTGTTGACGTGACGTCACACGTGGACGTCCCGCACGAGGTCGATCGCCGACGTGGCCAAACTGTTGATGTCCTCTCCACAAATCCCGGATTGTGTTTCGATGGACATGAAAACGTATAGAGACAACGGCTTGGCCCATACCAGCTTGCAGCATACCAATAATCCGGAGGCGGTCATTTTCATTGTGCCTCGGCATAGCATTAATCACAAACTAAAACGTTATAATGCTGTTTTTACTGTTCACTGGTCTCAACAGAGTGACCCAACAGTTGAACAATAAACTTTCATTGTCGAATTAGTTGGCTGGACGACAAAAACGTGCAAACTGGTCAATGCCTATAGAGAGCAAACTGCACGGAAAAAACTGTCAATGACACACGGATAGTGTGTATGTGTCATACTCGGTCATGTGTGTGAATTTTCATGTATATACAGTTGGTAATACATGTTCTATAACAATTCTCCGCATGCACAGTTCCCTTTTTCCGCTAGTATACATTAATATGTCCTTATCATCAAATGATATGCTACTATTAATTACATTATTTCAAGCAGTGCAATATTTCTCGCTACACTTCTAGGAGTAGGTGCGGAAGTGGTGTGTATGTGTGTTGACTGTAAAGCTTAAGGAAATAAGTAAACTGAACTCGAGGAAGTCAAAAATAAAAAAGGTTAACTTTACGATAAATACAAACTCGTGTTAGATCTGAAGCAACACAATAATTTGTAAACGCGACGTAGACGAGTCAATTTAAGAAAAACAAACTTTGAGGCGATCAATTAGGTAACTAAGATTTGTGAAAAATCGTTGCATCGGTATCGCCTCATATGCATTACAATAACCGACATTCGTATCATAAAAAAAATTGGCAAATTTCTCTTTGATATCATGATGGTGTGCATATAACTTGTTGAAAGTTGTTATCAAAATCATATGATTTGTAAACAGCTCGGATGTTTCTATCAAGACGTAAGAAAGTTCATGATAGGAAAATCAGAGTCGCCCAGCTTTTGTTTCTTCTCTTGTTAATAGACAGATAATACTGAAAAAGTGTGCAACCTTTCACATCGTGTTTACAGAGCATATTAAGAGAGAATCCGGTGAGTTATCAATATTTAAACATCATATGTGTAGTAGTACCCTGTACAAGAATACAGAGCGAGCAATAGTGCTATTAAAAAATGTAAAATGCTCTTATTCAGAATAAACTTATTGTATGCAGGAAAGGCCAAAACTTTTCTGTTGACTAGGGATGAGATAATTTATACATTGCGGCCTAGGTTGGATTGACATAGGAGTCAAGAAATGTAGATTAAGATTTTGTTTTCGTTTATTATAAAAACAACAACAAATAAATAGATAAACAAAAAATCAAATTTATACCAGGAGCTTCTTGGCATTTTTGACGCCTGTGAAACGCCGACTAGTTTAACAATAAAGAGAAGAATCGTTTGCCCATTAAAATGTATCGTTTGTGTATTCGCTTATTTTTTATCTGTCAATTCAGTTAGTAACTGGATAGTCTCTGTCCCGCCAAGATGGCTGTCTTCCCATATGTTATCAGATAAAATGTTATCTTGGTAACAAAGCGTAGTTTCACATCTTTTTAATGTATGGGAAAATATATATTGGGACGAATATGTGTCACAAGTTAATGTAAGTTTGGATGTATTTTATTTTTAACAAATCGGTTGAACTAGCGTGTTCTTAATAAAGTAGAAATAAATTTCGTTAGATCACTCACCATTCATCCAAATCTGGGATTCAGCCCCACACCGAGGTTGATCTAGGTCAGGACTCCATCTAAGTAGCTGATAATGTCCACCTGAATACCAGTCTTCTACCAAATGGTCACTTGCATGTATAGCGTGGGAATTTGTAGGACGACGATTTTCTAGGTTTGGGATTTGTGATGGTGTGGTCGACGAACAAGGGTCAATCAATCCCGCAACATCTGTGGAATATACGACAGAGTGCCAGAAAAGAAAAGAAAGAGAGAACGCAGATGTGTCCACGAAACTATAATTGTAACTCAAAATAAATAAAACTAGTGCAAATTACGAACAAAGGGACATTTACAAAATGCATAAAAGGTGAATAAGACCAGGCTCTCGGGGAAGGATAAGCTTTTTGCGTCATCGACGACATCTGTAATGTAAATATATATCAGCTTTAAGTAACGTCACGTGCTAACATCGAGAACGCAATTATTGAAAACAAAACCATAAGGCATACTAATTAGGACCATGAAAAACACTGACCTTCATATTTTATTAAGACATAGCTTATTTCTCAATGAGGACATACTGGCGACCATAAATCTTGTCCATATCATCATTAAAATACATCTTTGGAAACCAAGTACATGTGTTCAACATTTACTTCTGGAACGTTTCTTTGTGTTTGACAGAGGGTTGTTGATCCTTATAAATGTTTAGAATGACATTTAGTTGTTATCAACTTTCTAAGAGAGGAATATTTTATTTTAAGTTAATTATTAAATGATAAAACTTTGAAATAAATATCTAAATGCATTCGTTTCACTCCAAAATAAACGTAAAACATATTGGTGAACTGTAATAACTTATCGATCCAGTGAGACACTGATTGGTCCTATATCGTAATGGTCACTGGTCAGTTCGTTGTGATAACTTATCGAAGCAGGGAGCAACTGATTGGGTTCCTTTGTTATATCTGTCACTGGTCAGTTCCCCGTGATATCTTATAGAAGTAGTGAGCCATTGATTGGGTTTCTATGTCATACTGGCTATTGGTCAGTTCACTGTGATAACTTAGCGTACCTGCTATAACTTTATTATATTCCTATGTCTATCTCACCACTGGTCAGTTCACTTTTAAAACTTACCGAAGCAGTGAGATACTGACTGTGTTCCTATGTCGTACTGGTCACTGGTCAGTTCATTGTGAGAACTTACCGAAGCAGTAGGCTACTGACTGTGTTCCTATATCGTACTGGTCACTGGTCAGTTCAGGCAGCCGATATGCACGTCTGTCTCCACAGTTCATAACGTCAACAGTAAAGTTGTGCTTGCAGATATCGTCATTATATCTGTTGGTCATACAAACTCTCTTTTCATGAAACACTCCATCATTTTCCGGTAAGGTGTCTACAATTGTGACATATTTTCTTTGTTAATGTAAAGCCAGGTGTAATGATTAAAGTACGTGTAGTAATTTACAGTATACGTTTTGTAATAATATTGTTTCTCTTTTTTTGCGACAAATCCATAACTATTGATGCCTTACCATTTAACCATATTTGGAGTTGTGCACCACAGCCAATTTCCCGACCGGTCACCACGAAACTGGCCATGTCGTAGTTGGCTTCTGTCACATACAAACCGCCGAGGAGGTTTTTGTCATCGACAGAGGCAATGTCCCAGGACGGATTTCTCCAGGGTAAATCTGGGACAGGTTTCATATCAGCCAATCCGTCTAGATAAATAATAATGAAGAATTGAATTTTTGTTTCTCTTGCTGCAAATTCCATATTCTATGATATAACATTTTCAAACATAATATCGAATGTAAGTGTCAAAAAATGTTGTATTCAATAGTAAGGGTATTAATAACAAATAAACTAACATTACCTTTTACAAAGTAAATTGCTATTTCGTCTGCATGAATAGCTGAAACAGAAAAATGAACAATAATGATAAAGATCAATCATTATAATATTTCTTGTAACGTGGTAATATTGCAACTTTTTGGATCAAATCGGAAATTGCCATATAAAAGTCATAAATTCTTCTCTGTTTATTGTTGTTAGTAATTCAGCTATATAGTGCATACAACAATAATAATTTATTGACATCATGTTTCTTGATATGATTGTTACACTGTTATAAGTACCTCCGAATGCAAAACAATGTTTACATATCAAATCTTACAGCATCATCTGATTAAGGTCTTTTAAACTTTACCCATGCCGGCGTGTTTCCCATCAGGTACAAAACGTATATATGGTACTTGAGTAGAATAGTAGGTTGTGTAACAATCGTGTACAGTGGAAGGATAATCAGTTAATAAAATCCATGTATAACAGCCTGATTGGAGCGTCCTTCTCACAAAGTATTCGTTCCTGAAATGAAAATTGTGTGATGAACAGTAACGTGGTATGCTTAATAACTAAGTACTAACTGTGAAATAGTGCAGATTCTAATGTTCATATTAGTGACATGTGACATCATCCAATACATAAACAAGTTCTGATTGTTATTGAGGCCTTTACAAAATTCCCTTAAAGTACCCTCGCTGTCCAGAATTATGCTTCTTGAAGTCACTGTACTGAGTATCGAGGATTAGGCATGACGTCGATAGTACAGTCGTTATCTTTATGTTGACATACGAAAACATATCTCATTAGTATGGACAAAGAAGACATAAAATTCATTGTAACAAAAGAAAGAAAATGTGAAAAAAACGTAACATGAAAAACGTACATTTTAATGTCTTTTCACTATATTACATTTGTATTTATTTCTTTTTTATAAACATCTTGCTGTGCACCATGCATGTATGCAATATGATTATTTAGGTATACAATTTGTGTATGCATGTATTATATATATTTGGTATAAACATTATGGGTCAAAGAAGTAATATAGACGGTAAAACCAATAAAAACACTAAACATTATATATATTTATTATATCATGACAGGAAACACAGTTTAAGTTTGCAAAACAAATCCACAGACATTTTCATCTTGGTTCCTTTTCGGTCCTTTCTGACGCATACTATCTGTTTTATACGCAGTTGATTTCCCTAAGAACGTAATGTATATTGTTTTGGTTCCGTTTCTATTACACGTAATGTTCAAAAGAGTTCTGGCTCCGATTCGATCCGTTAGGATCAGTCACAACACAGCAAATGTATGTACCAGATCCGCAAATAGGGAATCAATGGCTCCTTGATCCTCGAAGTTCCAGGGTTACGCTTTCTTATGTTCTATGCATCTCTGGAATATGCCTTCGCAAAGTCGAAGGCCCGCGGTTATTCATTATCAGGTGAAAAAACTGAATAACCGTTAGGCTGTTACCTGTTCTTTGAAGATAACATAGGAACGACAACCGATTAAAATCACGGTCAACTGCTGTGTTGTTGTTTGTTGTATCGTAAATGATCGAACTAATCTTCCTGAATCATCTTCAAGGTAGCAGATTCAGAGCTTAAGAATTCGGCATTAACTATTCTAGGGGTGCACAGAACGTAAGTCAGCACAACCTTCTGGAATTAGAAGGATTGGATTTCATGTTTACTACTAAATTGAAAACGACAAATGAATTACAAAATATTACCACTACATAGCAAATAAAATTGAAAGCAATAATCACCTTGAAGCTACAGTGTATCCGAAAATCATGTAGCGGGAATATTAAAGATATATGTTAAAGTATTCTACACGTTTGTTGAAGTAAATACTTAATATTTTGTATATCTGTCGTACATCCTTCTGATTATGTAGGTAGATGAGCGTGGTGAATTTTAAGATTTCATAAAAATATGATTCATACAGGTACCAAGTTTTTTTTATAAACTGTCTGGCAAATGGTTAAATATTTCAAATGAAAAAAATGACATTATGACGCTGCAGATCTGGTCTACCATCTTGTCAGCATAACTTTTAAGTAAAATGAAGCGTTGCTGATTATTTTCAACGATCTTTAAATACATTCGTTATAGTACTAGGCAAATATTACGTAAGCATTTTAACTAACTGTCGTTCTAAGATAAAGATGCAATTACCGTAAATGCCAGTTTATTCTTTCATTTAAATTTTCTCGTAGAAGGAAATATAACGTACATATTAAGGAGCTTCATCAGGCCTCAGACTAATTGTTAACTTCCGACGATAAATCGTTTAAAATTTCTGTAACTAAATATATAACGGTTAAAAAATTGTAGTTATCTAGAAACGGGAAACGGCGAACAGTCGTATCACTGGGCGATATATACATAATTATGTCATTATCGGAAATTTTGTATACGCATTGTCTGACTAAAATAGCCAGGCAGTTGTTGTAAATTGAGTTTTTATCATTTACAAATCAGGTCTAGACAAAACCTGTGAAATAAAAAAATATTGGTTTAAACCTAGGACCATCTGTTTTTATCATATTGACCATGCTACGAAATGTATTAAAACTGTTCTTATTGTGGGAATATTGTCGTTGAACGGTGTTCATAAGGTGCCGTCCGACAGAATGGTCACTCAAAGGGAAAATGAATGTGTCATATCACTGACATGTCATCACCTGGACATCCTTAAGGTGCCAAGGGAGACATTGGCGGTAAGAAAATGGTTTCCCGAGTGTACCTTGACTACCGTGACACTGTTCGTTATGTTTTTGCGTTATCCTCTTTCCAGTTGTGGTTTTAAGTCCACATATGATCATGTTATTAAAGCGCAGCTTGAAGTGTCATCTCACTGATAATAATAACAATAAAGATAATAATTCGAGGTTCTTATATACCACTTTATCACAACCTAGTTTGTAGGTCGTCTCAAAGCGGTTCTCAATTATTATCCGTGGTTGTAGGGCCTTTGAAACCAGCCAATACCTTTATCAACTCCCCGGAGAGCATACAGCCGGTGCTGCCATTTCGGCGCTCACAGCTAGCTTTCAACATTTCTAGCACTGTCCAACCACGTACTCATTTACAGCTGAGTAGACTGGAACAAGCGGAGTAAAGTATCTTGCTCAAAGACACAACACAGTGCAGTGCCGTGACTCGAACCCGCAACCCTTCGGTCACGAGCCCGGCGTCCTACCACTGGACTACCGTGCCTCACTGATATATGGAAATAAAACCTGGCCACAATAGCACGGCAACCGTCAACGGGTTGAGCAAAGGAATGCGCGACAAAACAAGAAGGAAGAGCAAACGAAGGAGTAAAAGGAACAAACTGCAAAAGATGGTGCAATGAAGGCAGAATGTAAGGTTTCGTTTGAATCCTTTAAGGCGTATAGATAATGTTCCTTATCCATATCTTCAAGCAGTCCATGTAAGCCGCCTACCGCCATTACTTGGTACACTTTTGTTTGCCATATATGCACTTATATAATGATTTAATGTTTGCATTCATATTTGCCACAATGTCTAACAAAACACAACCGTTTTATATGTATTTTGTTTTCACTTTGACAATATATAATGAATGACAGCAGCTCTATGCAGCTGATTTAAATGCTCAAATATTTCTTTGAGCATATAAATCCCATAAAAACAAAACAGCTACATTAAGATTTAAAACATTATCTCTTTGACGTGACAACAAAGAAAAAAACTCGTTTAGTTGTTCGTCGATACCAAAGATATACAACCATAATAGACAACTAGCAAAATAATACAGTACAGAAAACAAACCACGGCTTAAATGTTAAGTTTACATTGAGAATCAGTTATTCACTGAGATGTTCATTTGTATAATACATGACATCATGATTAGTTAGGGGAAATGTTAATGCAGGACAAATACCGCTTTGTTTTGTTTCAAATGATTAGTGGAGTTTCTGTTGTAACCTAAGCAATGAGAAAATAATATACATTACCAATAATAAGAATATCTGTAGAAGTATAGGAGCAGTTGGTCAGTCTCATCAATCGAAGACGCGGTAAGGTAATTTCTGTGAAACCAACTAAACTTATTAGTCCCAGTAGCATTGAATTCGAAGTACATCTGTTCAACACCTGACTTTATCACCTCCAATCGGACCTAGAAATAAAACATATACATATATAATATAGAGGATAGCTAACAGTGTCTTCAGTAATAACAAAAACAAAAATATTAGCAACACAATTGAAAAACCCATGCATGCGACGCGACTCATCAAGCTAACAATATTTGAATTGAATTATTTTACCGCTAGCATGTGTAGACAATCCTAAGCGACAAAAGAGAATTCTATGTCCAAAAGAATTAATAAAATATTGATTATTTAATTATTTATTTAATATAGTAGGTACTGTAGTCCATATTTAATCACAGTTTACACAATTACTATCAAAGTTTAGTATTTGTCCCTGTGCTGGATCGGCAGCCCTTATTGTGTTGTGCTACCTAAACTTATCTCCCTTTACTCCAGGCTTCGTACTTCAAAGAGAAAAATACCGCCTGTTTTCATGGAAGGTGGCATCTGTGAAATTTGTAAGTTTGTATGATATTAGAACCGATGTTACTATATCTGTCGTTTTATGATCACTCTGAAATGAATCAATCCATGTTCAAGATGTGTCATTCCTGAGTTTTGTCGTAATGTAGCGGTGAAGCGGGTAAATCGGAAAGTCACTTCGCCCCAACTTCCTGTCATGCAACACGTGTGGATAGCTATTGTATTTGTTTAGTATGTTAGTGAACTACGACTGAACAATGATTGTATATGTAGCTTTATGTAATATGAAAGCTTGTGTGTTATTTAATATCCATTTTCAAGTCATCAGTATTAAAATAGGCACACTAGTCAATCTTTTAATGTAGGTGCCTGTTATGTAGTTGTCAGTAATAAAGTAGACACGTCAATTAATCTAGATTTCCTATGTAGGTGCCGGTGATGTAGTTGTCAATTTTTGTAACAGGCTGTGCTATATCTTACAGTGTTCATATATGTTCTTGTAGAGAGTTTGTCTACATTTATCAATGTCCCGGTGCCATGCATCATTGTAACTGGTTCAGCCATGGTGTCGCCACAGCGTAAGTTTATAAGTACTGTTATAATTCCCCTGAATTGAATTGTAATAGATTGTTCTATCATTAAACAAATTTTCCTTGCATTATTTTTGTAATTAAAGGGAATTTGCTGTATCAATAATAACAAGCCTATACAGTTGATTTTAAATCAATGTAATAATATTTGCCGATGGTATTTTAGCATACCAGAGACCATTCAATTATAACATAATACATCATATTATGCAATGTGGTAATGCACTCAACTTGAATTGTGCATGTATATTAATAGGACGTTTTGTCAAATTTACCTCTGATCTTTATTGCATCATATTTCCAATTTTTAATCTGGATATTTTGTGCATTTCCAGTGTGTGAAATTGCTGTATTTCTGTATGTTGTAGTTCTTACGGTGTTTTGTTAAAAACGAATAAAAAAACTTTCATCACGAACCCGTTATCTGTCTGTCATCATTCCTGAATGAGTGGCGGAACAGTCCCGGCATATAAACTACGATCACTACGCGATGTTGATACTTTTAAGTGCCGAATCTCAAATGCTGAGGAGTTGGGTAACATGCAAAGTTGTGTAACCACTTATCCTGATGATGAAATATAACACCATCTTTACTCTAGTTATACTTAATCACTGTAAAAAATGGCCCTGATTATTTTGTACTTTCTCCAAATCATTTGGCCTCAGTAGCATGGTACTTGGAGACACTGACACGTGTTTCCCCGATCTTATACTTAGAATGGATGTCCTGCATAGTCTGTTGGCTTCAATAAAAACGAAATTGTACTTTCGTCGTGAACGTTCCTTTTCCCCTGGAGTATAGTCACTGTGAGATAAAACATATGATTATTCTGAGCATTAGACTGGGCTGGTTGCTCTGAAGGTTTTTCGCAAGGACTGCATGCTGTACACATGGCGGTGATTAGTCATTGGCATATATGTAATAAACATATACAATGTATAAAATCTTCCTTCATCAAAATACAGATTCATTTATGCAAAACACTATCCCGTAAAAAAGTGACCAAAGAAATGTATTCAGCGGATAGAAGTTTATTACCTTAATTGATGCAATACCCAGACGTTTACAAAACATGTGTTCAGCATGAACAAATGTTAAGACACGTATATTTACATGTACATACACATGGAAGCTTAGTGCGTCATTAATCTATTAACTCTATTTATGAGGTACGCAGAGTCAAAACACGACAGAAACACTGATGATTAATGTTTTGATAATATCGTGATTGAGCAACAATAAAAAAGTAAAGCATGATTAACTTGCGTCTTTTGCATTATATAGATTTTCTTGGTTTTCAACACGCTTGTTTCTTTTTGGAAGTAGGAAATGTAATGCTGTTAAATTGCTCAAATAAGTTATCATAAATGTGTCTGTTGACACATCCACATAATGTTAATGCAAATAACTGAGTTTTGTTTATTTATCTGGGTCTTCAAATACGAACTTGAGTTTGGTTTTCAATTTCGAATTCCATGATGCTTTTTACGTCACCTCCTTTTGCCAAATAACTGGCGTAGTCTTTCTCAAAATTATCAATATCGTTAATTTCACGTTTCAATGCAAGGAAAGAGACTCGCAATAGTTCAGACCTTTGACAAATATGGACGGTTTACACAGTCTATTCCTCTTTAAGGTAAGCAAGACATATCTCTCTTCCATCCTAGTCAATGTAATGTTTGTATTGAATTGATGTATACATAGCACATTGAAGAACGTAATTGATTTAGCTTGTTCTATTATATATAGGACAGATACAGTCGTACATGTCACACTGCTGTAGTCCGAATCCATGCTGTAAAACAGACTCGCTCAGAATTTATCATGTATATGTAATTATTCATTATGTGAATATGTGTGTTTCATGTTGTTACAAACCCTTTCCTTTCATAAATATTGCCAATACCCATCTGTGTCTGACCAGTATTTTGTCTTTGCCCAATAGATACTTGCTATGCATGTATCATGTGTCCTTTTCATGTCATGAAAATGTGTTAAATGATTACTGATAAAACATCACCAACACCCTATGGGACACACAGGAGATCCAGGAGGCACACACTTAATCTTTTTATATATACATATTTAATACATGTTCGCAGGATCTATTCAGTCTAAAGAAAACTTGTGTTTCTTTTTAATGATAGATGCAAAATTACTGATTTGTTCTAATGATATACATTCTAACCCAGGTCCTCTACGTAGTCGCGCAATATCTCACCTCACTGTAAGAAATATACGATATTAAACTGATATTATTAAATGTGAACTAGAATGAAAGCGATATGCTTTGTCTAACCGAAACACATCTTACTCCCGAAATTCCAGATTCAGAAATATCAATTGAGTGATACTCAAATGTCTTTCATAGATTAAATAGAACTGGTCCTGGTGACGAACCAATTATAGAATATAAAATACGTAAACATCTAAGTCTAACCTGAAATACCTGAAAATACTATATTGAATCTTCCTATTTTTCACATCTATGAAAAACCTTAAAAAGGATAAATATTTTGAGATTATTACAGCAAAAATGTAGATAGAAAATCTCTTACTGCTTTATATACATCTGACATAAGACCTACACTGGACAATGCTGATGTAGTGTGCGATACTTGTACTCCAGTTAAAAAAGAATCTGCTCAGCTAGAGGCAGCAATATTAGTTACAGGCAATGCTGAGGAACATCACATGATATTTTCTATCAAAAGATAGGATGAGAAATATTAAGTAATAGAAGAAAAAAAAACTGATATTTATGAATAATGAAACACCAAATTACCCGAAGGAAATAATTGAACCCTACTTCCTTGATGATAATCTAGATAGATATCCTTTGAGAACTTTTAGAAAAGTTTATATCCCATTATGTCGTATTCTTAATTAGTATGAAAGTTGTTTCCTTTACATGTTTAATGCATTTTATAGAATTGCTCCTGGTATTCATGATATATTTTTTACTAAGCAGTTTATACGCTGTTTATGTCAAAATCATAATGTTCAATCTGAAACAACTGATGTTTGCAAATTTTCTGGAAATCGCAACATAAACGTATTTCTTTGCCAGCTACAGGTGTGGGATCGCACAACGTTACTCGATGTGTGGTGTGCGCACGGTGTGTGCACGGTGTGTGAACGATGTGTGCACGATGTGCGCACGATGTGCGAACGATAAAAAGTTGGACGATCATTGCTTGCGCGCATTTGTGTGCACGATGGACGAACGATGTGCGATAACAATCGTGGTTGGTGTAAATTAAGGAATGCCTTAACAATATATACGGTTTCGTGTGTAAAGAAATACAATTTTCTATATTCTAATTACATCTATAAGCTTATCTTTATGTCTATATTTTCTTAAAATTAGAAATTGTGTTTTCAGTATTTTTCAAACGACCTTAATCGACACATATGAAATTACAACACAGTCTCGTATACAGGTAAACATAGCCACTTTGTACATGTACCTGGACCGTTGTTTTCCCCAGCCCGGGGCGCTTACGTATTTCGTCGGGTAGGGCCAAAGGTGTGAAAACCCAAGTGAAGGGGAGCTATATGCAAACCGAATACAAATAACAATTACTGAACGTACGGTTTCGCATATCAACTCTATCTGTAAGGTCAAGGCCAGGTAAAACTCCGGTCACTCATCGAATTTTTATTTACCTGTTCTGTTACCTTGGAGCCAAACCCATTCAATGGTCACTGTAATGATGTGTAACACGCATTGTAAAACTGTACATACTCCTCATGACTGTGATGAGAAATTAAAGTTATATATACAGTTTTCATTATTGCATACGAGCTTTCCGTATTTTTTTCATTCCGTAAAATTGATCTACAAATTGTACCCAATCGCACAGTTGTGCGAAGAGAAGCGCACAACGGGGCGAACGATTGTTAAATCGCACAGTTGTGCGCACCATATGTGGACGATGTGCGGACGGTGTGTGAACGATGTATGCACGGTGTGCGCACGGTATTTTTGGTGCGTTGTGCGGTCACACAACTGTAAGAAATGGTGAAAGTTATCTAAATTACGACCTTTATTAAGACCATTTGATTGAATCTCCTCATTGTGAATGTAACCAAAATATGAAACTGTGTCAAACTATTTTCTGGAGTGTAATAGGTATAAATAGAAATAAATATTCGCCACATTTTACAGCAGAATCGCAATGTATGATGTACACAATCACCTTAGTATAAAGGTCCTGCTACACGGCTGTGGCAATTGTAATGACACCAAAAACAAACATATTGTCACAAATATATCAGATGTTATATTTCAATCACACAGATTCCTTAATATTGTGCTATAAGTCCTTACCATTAGTCGAACTTCAATTCGTTAAATGTGTCCTGTTATGTACATGTATTGTGCTGCCTCTTGGTAAATATCATTTGTCATTGTTGTGATAAAGGTCATTATCAACATATAATGCTTAGCTATGTACTTTCCTCTTAGCACCACATATTGGGTATTACCATAGTAGCGGATGAAGTACTGTATATATTTGTTGTAATTGGCTTTTGAATGTCATTATGGATGGTCCATACGTGACACATCGACTTTGTATGGCCTGCATGTTTTTAAGAGATGAAGCCAAGTCTACCAAATATATATGTTTTTAATATTCAAAAAAATATATTAATATTAAAAAAACTGCATGGGTTACACTGGCGACGTATGTAGTATCGTAGTAACATAGTTATATTATGTTTACATGAATAAACCGACCATGTAATACAAAATACAATAATATAATAATAATCAATGCAGAAGTACTCTCTACCTTAAACAATCAAACGTGAGGGTAAGGAAGCTGAATTCATCAGACGTCTTAGACCACGTTTAAACAATACTGTTTGACTACTATTTTATAATGTTCTCACTTCATGACACGTTTCAGGCAGAGAGTATTTCTGTATTTGAAAGGATGTGCATACGCGAGTTCCGATCAGTGTTTTTTATCGGGTATTTTTCTTCGTCTATAGAAGAATTATATTTGAACATTTACGCTACCGTATTTGATCCGTTGTAGTGAAAAAGGTAGTGTGTCGGATCAGTAACATAATATTCCGAAGTTCGCTCCTCACAGGAAATGTTTTATTTTGTTATTTTTGATTCATAAATAATAGCATCAATAGTAAATCTAAATCCTAACAAATAGTACTCTTTAACTTTAGACCAGCATTATGTATTTAATCGCTGTAAAATCGCTATGTATCAGCGAACTGGTATGTTACGTCATAGTTTATGACGTCATAATATTTACTTCAATAAATAGTCTGAAGAATCTCTTTGTCGAGATGAAAGTACTAAGACTCGTTGTTGAGATTTTTTCTTTTTATATATTTTTTTCTGTTTTTATGATATATATATATATTTGCATGATTGTAATTAGTGGTGTTTTGTTGCTATGGTATCAAAGACAATTGAAGTATATGCTGTTATAAAAATGAAGTTGTTTTCAGCAAAATATCTTTTTCTTAAATTAAACGAGGACAAAATGTAAATATAAGACTTGACTTAACATTTTATTTATAGCATTAGGGATAACTACAATTGTACTGGAGTAAATAGTACATTGTCGGTGGTTAATAGGTTGGCAATGAGTCTATCACACGATAGAAATCGCAGCAAGGCACTTATCCTCGTTGTTATTTTTTGTATATGGGCATGGAATGGCGAATTTACACTGATATCGGTGATTCATGTCCGTGCAATACAAAAATAAGGACAGTATAAGAATGTGTTGACAGACACTGCAAAAGATAATTATAATTGGTGTTTTGTTTTGTAACTTGATAAATCCCTAAGGTGCCCCCGGAACAATTTTGTACAGATCACCAAATCAGGTTTTCTAACTGGCTATATGTCTTGATCAGTCATTCAGAAAGTTCTGATTAAGATATATACGGATTTGTTGATAGGAGCAAGGAGGGAAAAAACATTTACAGAGTATTAAGCATTTGGAATGTGGCGCGAATTTAAGAATGGTGCATGATGTTGCTGTAAGAAAAGCTGATTAAAGAGCTTGTTTTTTTTATTGTAGACCCAAAGACAATAATAATGATGTCTGCCTAAAATATAAAACATTGACATTTTAAGTGAAAACATATTCTAGTTCAAAACATGCAAATCCATACCTTGTTGAATGTCGATGTGTCCCATGTGTCCACTTCGCTTGACTTATAATGTCCTCCATACCCAATATTTCTAGCGTCGGCATTGTTCTCGTTATAAGTAGAATTGGAATCCCAGAGATTGGCGATACCGCCAGTACCGCCTATGATATGACTGGCTCCACGGAACACAAGTTTCTTGAATGTGCATGCTGCAAAAGTCAAATACTGAGAGAAACAAAAAATACCTTGCAAGAGACCATACATTTGAAGCGACATTATAATAAGTATTTACCTTGTACCTACCTAACTACCTGAACCGACATTATAATTAGTGTTTACATTTTACCGACATTCTTATAATCCTCACCCTGTACCGACATTCCAATTTGTCTAAATTTGTACCGACCTAACTAGTATTAGTATTAATCTTGTCCCGACATTCTAATTTATTCTAACATCGTATCGACATTGTGATTAATCTTCATCTTGTACCGACATTATAATAAATATTTACCTTGTATCGACCTAATAAATTTGTTCTGGCATTATATCAGTGCATATCGTGTACCGACATTCTCATTAGTGTTAACCTTGTATCGACATTCTCATTTGTGTTAACCTTGTATCGACATTCCTATTAGTGTTAACCTTGTATCGACACTTTCATTAGTGTTAACCTTGTATCGACACTTTCATTAGTGTTAACCTTGTATCGCCATTCTCATTAGTGTTAACCTTGTTCCGACATTCTCATTAGTGTTAACCTTCTACCGACATTCTCATTATTGCTAACCTTGTACCGACATTCTCGTAAGTGTTTACTTTGTATCGACATTCCCATTAGTGTTAACCTTGTATCGACATTCTCATTAGTGTTAACCTTGTACCGACATTCTCATTAGGGTTAACCTTGTCCCGACATTCTCATTAGTGCTAACATTGTACCGACATTCTCGTTAGTTTTAACCTTGTACCGACATTCTCATTAGTGTTAACCTTGTACCGACATTCTCATTAGGGTTAACCTTGTCCCGACATTCTCATTAGTGCTAACCTTGTACCGACATTCTCGTAAGTGTTTACTTTGTATCGACATTCCCATTAGTGCTAACCTTGTATCGACATTCTCATAAGTGTTAACCTTGTATCGACATTCCCATTAGTGTTAACCTTGGATCGACATTCCCATTAATGTTAACCTTGTATCGACATGCTCATTACTGTTAACCTTGTATCGACATTCCCATTAGTGCTAACCTTGTACCGACATTTTCATTAGTGATTCCCATTAGTGTTAACCTTGGATCGACATTCACATTAATGTTAACCTTGTATCGACATGCTCATTAGTGTTAACCTTGTATCGCCATTTTCATTAGTGTTAACCTTGTATCGCCATTTTCATTAGTGTTAACCTTGTATCGCCATTTTCATTAGTGTTAACCTTGTATCGACATGCTCATTACTGTTAACCTTGTATGGACATTCCCATTAGTGCTAACCTTTTATCGACATTCTCATAAGTGTTAACCTTGTATCGACATTCTCACTTGCGTTAACCTTGTATCGACATTCTCATTAGTGTTAACCTTGTATCGACATTCTCATTAGTGTTAATCTTGTACCGACATTCCCATTAGTGCTAACCTTGTACCGACATTCTCATTAGTGTTGACCTTGTACCGACATTCTCATTAGGGTTAACCTTGTACCGACATTCTCATTTGCGTTAACCCTGTATCGACATTCTCATAAGTGTTAACCTTGTATCGACATTCTCATTAGTGTTAATCTTGTATCGACATTCTCATTTGCGTTAACCCTGTATCGACATTCTCATTAGTGCTAACCTTGTATCGACATTCTCATTAGTGTTAACCCTGTATCGACATTCCCATTAGTGCTAACCTTGTACCGACATTCTCGTTAGTTTTAACCTTGTACCGACATTCTCGTTAGTTTCAACCTTGTACCGACATTCTCAGTAGTGCTAACCCTGTACCGACATTCTCGTTAGTTTCAACCTTGTACCGACATTCTCATTTGCGTTAACCCTGTATCGACATTCCCATTAGCGTTAACCCTGTATCGACATTCCCATTAGCGTTAACCCTGTATCGACATTCTCATTAGTGTTAACCCTGAATCGACATTCCCATTAGGGCTAACCTTGTACCGACATTCTCGTTAGTTTTAACCTTGTACCGACATTCTTATTAGTGCTAACCTTGTACCGACATTCTCATTAGTGTTAACCTTGTATCGACATTCTCATTAGTGTTAATCTTGTATTGATATTCTCATTTGCGTTAACCCTGTATCGACATTCTCATTAGTGCTAACCTTGTATCGACATTCTCATTAGTGTTAACCTTGTATCGACATTCCCATTAGTGTTAACCTTGTATCGACATTCTCATTAGTGTTAACCTTGTATCGACATTCTCATTAGTGTTAACCTTGTATCGACATTCTCATTAGTGTTAACCTTGTATCGACATTCTCATTAGTGTTAACCTTGTATCGACATTCTCATTAGTGTTAACCTTGTATCGACATTCTCATTAGTGTTAACCTTGTATCGACGTTCTCATTAGTGTTAACCTTGTATCGACATTCTCATTTGTGTTAACCTTGTATCGACATTCTCATTAGTGATAACCTTGTACCGACATTCTTATTAGTGTTAACCTTGTATTGACATTCTCATTTGCGTTAACCCTGTATCGACATTCTCATTAGTGTAAACCTTGTATCGACATTCTCATTAGTGTAAACCTTGTATCGACGTTCTCATTAGTGTTAACCTTGTATCGACATTCTCATTTGTGTTAACCTTGTATCGACATTCTCATTAGTGATAACCTTGTACCGACATTCTTATTAGTGTTAACCTTGTATTGACATTCTCATTTGCGTTAACCCTGTATCGACATTCTCATTAGTGTAAACCTTGTATCGACATTCTCATTAGTGTAAACCTTGTATCGACGTTCTCATTAGTGTTAACCTTGTATCGACATTCTCATTTGTGTTAACCTTGTATCGACATTCTCATTAGTGATAACCTTGTACCGACATTCTTATTAGTGTTAACCTTGTATTGACATTCTCATTTGCGTTAACCCTGTATCGACATTCTCATTAGTGTAAACCTTGTATCGACATTCTCATTAGTGAAAACCTTGTATCGACATTCTCATTTGCGTTAACTCTGTATCGACATTCTCATTAGTGTAAACCGTGTATCGACATTTTCATTAGTATTTACCTCGTACCGACATTATAATTAGTGATCAAATTGTACCTACATTATAATTAGTGATCAACTTGTACCTACATTATAATTACTGTTTACCTTGTTCCAACATTATAATTAATATTTACCTTGTACCGACATTATAATTAGAGATCAACTTGTACCTAATTATAATTACTGTTTACCTTATACCGACATTATAGTTTGTGTTTACCTTGTACCAACATACACTTTGATATCGAATAATCACGTAATGGTATCGAAAAAAAGTAAATGAACGCTAGTTAAAACTTTGTCAATGTTTCATGTATGAAGGGTTTTATTGACACACTTCCACTTGTCTTTCTAAACATCTGTTTGTTAAAAAGTTTGTTACAATGATGTGTCAATATGTGCCGTTTTACATGTAAGATCAAAAATAATGTTTCGATGTTTTATGTATATACATGACTGAAATAAATATTATTTTTTGTATTGTATATGCTCAGCAGATCATACAGTGTGTAGCGAATCATACACAGGGTGTTTTAGATCGTACAGATGGCAACTTCTAACAGTTATGACCCAAAAATCGGTGAACTTTAACAAATATGCAGTGACAATCATTTTCATATTAAAACATTGTATATTATCCTTAACTTTGAGACATCTTGCAATAATTCATTTTTTGCCTACAGCAAGATTACAACTGATATTATTTTTAAAAAATATCGGAGTCAAAACTTGAAGGTTGTGGACTTCTGTCGGTGCATTTGTCAATCACAGAAATCCAGTTAGAATCTACAAGCAATGAACTGAACTGTTAAGTCCAGTTACTGAATGGCGTGTTGGTGACAATGTCCACTTTTATCAATATTTACCATTTGTTAGTGCTGCCGGCAGCCACAGAACTCCGCCAACGTACAGTCCAAGATTCATTCTGCAAATTAAATATGATAAGTTCAGATATATTATAGACTTTCCATAATGACATTAATTTCAATTTAATGCTACACGTATTTACATCACGAAGTTTACTTAAAAAAATGATTATATTTTAACAATGTTTTAACCTCGGTTTAAACAATTAGATTAAATTGGATTTAAGTATTTACTTACTTTGCAAATCAACCTCATTCATAACAACTGAAAAGGCATATAGCGGATTTTATCTCATTGCCGCAACGACTTTTACTATGACAGGATACCAAGGATCAAACAGGCGTGTTCCTCTGTCCGCTACCAGGCATCGGGACTGATATTTGAGTATTTCACAACAGATGAACTATCAACCACCGCATTGGTGTATGCTGTGTAAGTGTCATCCAATGATTGCAGTTGCTTTCGGACAATTAGCGAGTCGAGGTAATGACGTGTTGTAGGCACAAGACAGATAAATATTTTCTTTATATTTAAACGACACAAAAGGTCATTTTTGGCCATATTGATTTGAATAATAGAATCTAAAACAAATCTTTTAAGCTTCAACGCTTTATCTGATATTGTGTCGGAAGAACACGAGACGTTTTAACACTGAATTGTTGCGATACAATTTTGCAGCAGTTTACATACACGTATTGTAATTATTCCAGTCCGTTTATATAATGGTCTTTTATATCGAGCATTTAATTCTTATCAGGTTTACATATGATACAACGCACACAGTAGACATTCAGAAGTGTTTATAAGATAGACTTATGTTGTGAATTGCTTGATTGACTATCCGTTCCGCTGCATAGTCCGTCTGTCATAGATGGAGGGTTAATCAGTGTTTCAACATCTGTACTTTTTTCTCATCAAATACTTATATCAAATATTAGTGTAAGCATTCCTTCAGTACTTAGGTACTAGTAGGTCAAAACAAAAATAATACAGCTTTTTATTTTTATAGATGTCTAAAATTATAAAGAACAAATACTTCATCTCATCTTAATAACACTGGATCCAAGGAATTAAGCTTTAAAACGTAATCTGTTTTCGATTTTCAGATCGTTAACTGTCATGTTCTTAATAGAAACATCTGTATTTCCTTAATTTACATTATTCAAATGTCACAGTTTATGTGGTATTCAAAAGCTGGATCTGAATATAACCATTTTTACTGAAAGATTTAGACGACCTACAGACAAACATGCAACACAGAGTTTCTAAATATACACATTGATGAAGAATATGGGCTAGCTTAACGATCGCTTAAAAAAAAACCAAGAAAATAATATATTTCTTTAAAGGTTGATGATCGTAATTTTACTCATTAGTGTGCTTTGTCGCTTTGTTATCACTTCCCCGGTTCCATCTTTGTTGACAAGACATTATTTTGAATTAAAAGATGAAAGTTACGCACGTACATGTGATGACATCAACCTTTTATCTAAAGAAGCTTACCAACCTGAAAATAAAAACAACTTTGTTATACGCTTATGTACATGTAACATGATGTAAAATGTTTGGTTTAACTAGGTATGAGACTACTTCTAAGATAAATGAAGATATATGACATGTTACTGTTAAAACTGCGAAAATAATTAAAATGTTTTATCTCGTCTGGAAATCATTCTAAGCTTGAAACCAGCATCATTGTTAATTATTTGCATATTGACAATAATATGAGAAAACTGCCCAATCAACATCATAACAAACTGGGTCAATATGGGATAAAGTGGGCCAATATCGACGAACTGGGCGATTACTTCTTTCACCCTCAGTAACGCTTCATTGACAATGTCAGAAGAAAACAAACAATGGAGTGAGCATCTGACAGCTCCTTCAAAGATTGCTGAGACATGCTAGCGGTTAAATGCATGACATTACTAGATACGAAGTGTTTAGTGAATTAAGCAAACAATGCTTAGTGATATATTTGTAGTACATACTCAATGGCGAATTCTGAACTACAATTTTGTCTGTTCTTTTCCCTGTTCAGTGGTGCAAATATTTCCATAAATATCATGGTAATGCCTCCCCAGAACAAAAAGCGAAGTACAGTCAGTCCAAGTTAAGTTCACAGGAAATCAACTGAACAATATTTGTAATAATTACTATTAAATTTGTTGAATATGATTAGTTAATTTTTGTTAATTTAAGATTATTAATAAAATGGTCATTAATGAGCTAACTCCACATTGGCGATGACCTCGGTCTGTCACATAGGCCCAACGCCGCAAGTGACAGACCTTGGCCTAATTCCTGAGCCAATATGAAATTAGCTTATGAATCACTTCAGTCTCCAATTAGTTTTAACTCAGTCCTTAGCGCCGTCTAGGTCTGAAATCATGTATACAAACACTCCAAAGTTTTTTTTATGATGAACTTGCTTAAATGGAACATCACTCATATCTAAATTCAAAGTGTAATCATGATGTGATTATTACTGTTTGACGCAACTTATATGCAATAACACCTATAGCTACATTAACAAAACTTTCGTGTTATCACTCCGAATCTCAAGGTTAGATCAAATGGTGGTGACATTCTAATTGAACAATATATATGTTTACACCAGACGTATCTAGAATCGTCTACATACATGTCGATGTTGGATTTAACACCCAAAGATTAGTTATTCATAAACGATCTATAACTCTGAGGCACTCATTGTGCAATACACATTGGTTCTGATTAACTTCCTTATATTGATACATTCTGTGATCAATTGGCGTGATTAATCGATTTAAACCAATTGGCGTGATTAATCGATTTAAACCAATTGGCCATTTCGGGTCATATGACACTGTATTTGACTGATTCAAAAGCCCCATTTTAAATCTAAAAAAACATATAGTTATAAGGCCTCGATGACTGTTCTTTGTCCATGGATATAAATGTATAACAAGAGATGCACACGACTGTTTCCCCTTTGATACCTGACTGTGCTGAAAGAAAATTGGCATGTCGTTCTTACGATTTTGACTACGTACAAGTAACACTGCCAAAGATTTACAGTTACCTGTATATACACTTTTAAAATGTGTCGGTTCTTAAACAATTTCTATTGAAATGGACATTTGCTGTTTTCTTTTCAGATTTTTTTGTTTTACTATTTTCTTAAACTTTTTTAAATGATTGTGACAAATGGTTCCAGTAAAACTAAATAACATGATTGTGAAAGGACTTTTAAAAACGAAATTATCAAATATTTAAAAAAGTGGCTGATTTATAGGGTTTAACGTTCTTTGACATTGGGGACCCACGTTGCATAACACGTGTGTAAGGTATGCATGAACGTATCGATGTGCTGGAGGCAGCGTATGCTTGTGTAAATGTGTCAATACGATAGCAATGATCTGATGCCGACCGACTTTATACTGCTACCTCTCTAAAATACCAGTACGAAGGCCTCCGCATAGCGTTCCGCCCGGTCACATTATACTGACAGCGGGGACAAAACCCATTGCCGACCTCACCTTGGCAACTTACGGACATGCGATGGGTAATTCTTAAATGAGCAATAAAAACATAAATGATAAAGATAAACGATTTAAAAAGCGATACGGCAAATTATGCATTATTGAGGAAAAATGTTGAAATATAAGTCAATTAGCTAATTATTCATTGATAATTATACAACGAAAACATATTTCTACATTGTTAATACGTTTATTAGTTAATAGTTTAAATACAAACACATATTTATATATCATTAGTATTGTAACCTAGCGTAATGAATCTGTTCGTCGCCAACTGCGTTCATACTACATCATAAGCCGTCAAAATGAAAGTTAATCCTTATATATAATCGATTTATTTTATATCACGTTAAGCTTTCAAATATTTTACTATGGTGCTACACACAATTTTCCACTAACATGTTTTGTTATCCGTTATCTGTTAATAGACCCCGAGAGTGCATTGTAAGTATACCAGAAGTGAACAAGTCCATTACGCAAAATTATTACACCGTACCTTTATCGCATTGTACCTTTATCGCATTGAAAGAAACCAAGAAGATGTCATTCGTAAATAGTACTTTATGTTTTTAATTTCTAAATCAGTCAGAACAATTATGTTTTATTCACAAGCTAAATATACCTGGATCGTCCTTATGGACCAACGATAGCAAGGTTTATAAACGCCATTCTTTATTTGAAAAAAACAGTCTGAAATGTCGTTGTGCAAAAGTATTACTTTAAGATTTAACATTGAATGTTGCAAATATACTTGACAGTGATTAAGGTACATTTATTGCAAACAGTCAATATAAACCTACTATAAATTTTTTAATCATAAGTTTCGATTTTTCTAATGAATATACATGAGAACAAAAGGCCACTCATTGCCTCTAAGCTCCCTGTGCTTTTTTTTGGGGGGGGGGGTTACTTTAGATATTTCTTCCCGTATACTCGGTATGAAAGTGGGTTTTTTATCGTATCATGCATGACTTTAAAGTTTATAAGTAATTAATTTGATAATTCTACTATCCCACTAACATTTGAGGAATCAGAGAACTCTAATGTAGATCATCACAAAAGAATTAAAACTAAAAAAGTGATTTGAATAGAAGCCTTAAAAGCCACAACGTTGTTTTGACACGTAAAATGGCGATTTCCCTTAATAATTATAATTATCATATACTACATTTATATAGCGCCCTATTTGATTTTTAAAATTACTCCAAAGCGCTTTACAACATATGAATATTAGTAATAGTTATAATTGTGAAACAAAAACCAAGGCCTGCAATCACTTTTATACATTTAAGCAAGCGATGTGCACATAAATGAACACATAAAGGTTGGTATTTACATGACGTCTTTGCAGAGACCCTAACATGAAGACGTGAAGAGGTGAGTTTTGATGTCCCTCTTGAATTTGACCAGATTATTTGACTCTCTTATATTAGATGGTAAGCTATTCCACAACGTGGCCGAAACCCTCCCAAAGCACCGGTTTCCATAGGTCACAGTACGAGATTTTGGGTCACACAACCACGATTCTGACTCC